ATTGCTTATGCTTTTGTGGTTCGTTTGGGTTGGAAGTTGAAAAGTTGAAAGGAATGGCGTAACTTACGTACTGCGAAATGTATTATTATTACTCCCACAAGAGTGCGCGCACGTGTTTTCTTTTTGTTTTGCTAATTGAGCAATAAATAAGCAATAAATAATAATGGCAGTAATTTAAATTTATAAATTAGATTTAGTAAATTATTCATTAGAATGCGTATTTAATATTTATACGGATTTGCACGACTACAGGTTTTAGAATGAACTAAAAGTGAAGTTCTTAGATAATTAAAAAATAATAATTTTATACTCTTTTTTTGTTTGAAATTAATACATTCGCGAAAAAGTGTTTGTCAGTAACGCTGTAGCAATACGATCACAAACGCGAACTCGCTATTATAGATAGTATGAGTTTTGCCGGATGACTCAGCAATATAAAATTATAGGGTGATCTCCGATCGTGTTCGGGTAAGATCGGCAGTGACGCAGCATAGTTTTATTACTACGCACTAACTGCAAAAAATCTTCACTTCCAGTTAGGCACCACCTGTGTGCAGTTAGTTTGCATTCATTGTAAGCAACAACTTAGGGGGCGATTTTGTCCGAACGCGATCGTCAACTATCGACTGATACAACGTTTGCGTCCAATGTTAGCAGTAGTAACATCGATAAAGGATCGACGTTGCGATTCTCTTGCTTTTACACGTCGTGATCGACACGAAGTTAGTAACAGAAATGTGACTTTTGACGAGTGTTACTCTCGGTCCCCCAATATACGAAGGGGAGCCTTCGTTTGTTTATGATGAGTCATATCTACACTCATCGAATATTGGTAACATTTCATTTATAAATTTCACTTTTTGAAAATTATTTTAGTTTAAAATATATTCTATAGTGAAATACAACTAAAATTTTAACTACAAATCCAAGTAATATTATGAATTAAATCTGTTTCTATTTTAACGCAAATTTAATTTATATTTTACACAAATTCTATTGTTATTAGACAGGTTAGTCATCAAACGAATACGTTTATAATTAATAGTTTGAGGTTTACGTTTTGGCGGTGCGAATTACTTCATCTTTTACATTACGCAATCAAACGTAATCGAACGTAACTAAACTCTTCCTTCTTGTTTCAACGAGTGCCTATTATTCAACCGTTTAGTTTTTAATGTTCCACGCTAAAATCTATTGTATCTATTGTTTACGTAGTAGTGTAGTATGGTGTTGGAATAATTAAAATTTGCATTTTACAGCGATTTAACCATTGATCTGTGCTGATCTGTGAATGTTTGTAGTTAATTTTCTGCGCGCAGTTTTCGTTTTAATGGCTACACGCGCAGCGCAAATTAAGAGTTTTGCGTAAGTGTGAATGTCAAGAAAAAATACTGTGTTTTACGGGTTTTGCGAATGAGTTTTTGATGAGATCTGAGACCACACATCACGCGTGGGCGTTCAGGATATTTACGTGTTTAATTCGATTAATTCTCGTAGACGCACGCGAATGCCATCAACATTTAATTCAATTTAAAAGAAATACATCAAAAATATATATTGCGTGTAGGAATTTGTGAGGAATTTGTTTTTATCGGTTGATTTGTAGAAAATGTGTAGGTGTATTAACTTAGCATCAATTTCCAGTAGAAAAAAATATTTTCAGCTTATTTTTTGAAGAAATTAGCATGGAAATTTAAAATTTTTTGTTGGGATTTGAATTTTCTAGACAACAAATAATTTTTTTTTCCAAAACTCATTGAAACAAAAAGAACTTTTTATTAAAATTTGAAAATTGACTTTGAAATTGTATTTCACTGCCTAGCCATGAAATACAGTTGATTAACTTTATCTGGTTCTGTTTTATTTCATAACTAGCTTTAGGCCGCGACTTCGTTCCGGTAGTGATGAATAAAAATGTAATTCGTTTTTATTCTCTTGTTCAAGACATAGTAGGTATGTGTCAATTCTATCAATAAGATTCTCAATTTTATTTGAAAGAAATTAATTATATAAAGAATTGCTAATAATGCACTTCAGCGCGCCATCTCGGATTCAACTATTTAACTATAACTATGATTGAATCTCAATGCCAACTTTTATTCTATAGAAAAGGGCTGTCTTTAGGGTTTTCTCGGAAATTATTCGATTTTTTCTCGTTATTAAAACCACTCTTCGACTTTAACAAACATTTCAAAAAAAGAATTGGCCAAATTGGTTTAGGCATTGATGAGTTATGCGCTTACCAACAGATTTTGCGATTCATTTTTTTATTATAGATTATATGTAATTTTGATAATTTTTACGTCAAACCACGTTTTATTCTACGTTTTTTACTTTTCTACACATTTAACCCTATGACTAAATTGTTTATCATTTTTCTTAGAATTCCTGGATTAGTAAACACTCTACTATTCTTATCTTTCATATTTTGCCCAATTTTTAAATTAATTCTTAATACTTTTCAAGTAGTATATTTTTATGTTAAATTTTGTCACCCACAACTTAAATTCTACATCACTCCGGATTTAATTCCAAGATAAAATCTATCATAATATTATGCAAATTATAAATACAAAATCACACACCAGTCAACTCGAGATTAGATCAAATTTACGAGTTTGACATTCATAATAACATTCATAATATCTTTATACCTCCATATGTTAAACATTTTATTTATTTGTTTATTTACTAGCAATATTAATTTAATCCACAATAAATTACGGATGATTGCCGAAACGAGTAGCATTTCCGGCATTTATAAACTTTATTTATTTGCCACGCTGTCTGCTTGTTTATTTATTTACTTATTAGCAATAATCTTAATTTGCATCCATCGTCATGATGAAATGCTACATCGCAATTCCACGTGCAATTCAATGCATTGCATTAGTCATCGTCACAACAAATATTCTAATTGGATTTTAATTCGCTGGGAATTTGTATATTGTAACATTTGAATGTGATAATTTCCCGCCCGCATCAAAACTACATTATACGAATATGTTTTATATTTGCCTGTGGCATTAATTTGTGTTTTTGTTGTTTTTCTCGAACGGCACATGTCGGATTCAGATTTCGTTAATGTATTCCAATTCCGCATTATTTCGAAAAGTCGGGGTGGAGATTGTGGACGCACCCACGATTCGTCCATAAACAAAAGCAGGCTGGTTGTGAATGTGTGTGTGTGGAGTTACGTGATTTTGACGAATATTACGTCGCGCGGCGAGTTCAAGTTCATTTATTACTAACTATGTATTCTTTTATGAAGGTATGATTGGTATGTGCTGGTAGGTATTGCTAAAGTAGCACTATTTGTTTGCTATAATAGCCGTTTCGCCTGGTTGCCCGGTTAACTGGCGATGAATATTAATTACATATGTCTAAAGATATCACGTTGTAGATTAACATCTTGAATAAATATTATACGAAATTAGATTGGTATTAATTATATCGCTATTATGAATGAATAATCGAATGAGAATGAATGAATTTCAAATAAAGAAATTGAAAAAAAGATTTTTTAATTGTATAAATTGGATTGGAAAAAATATTTAAATCCGTAATATAAAAATGAATTGCAAAATATGTTGGTAAGCGCATAATTCAACAACGCGAAGACCAATTTGGCCAATTCTTTTTTTTAATGTTCGTTAAAGTCCAAGGATGGTTTTTATGGCGAGAAAAAATCGAATAATTGCCGGGAAAACCCTAAAGACAGTCCTTTTCTATAGGATAAAAGTTGGCATTGAGATTCAATCATAGTTATAGTTAAATAGTTGAATCAGAGATGGCGCGCTAAAGTGAATTATTAGCAATTCCTTATATAATTAATTTCTTTAAAATAAAATTGCGAATCTTATTGATAGAATTGACACATACCATGTCTAGAAGAAGAGAGTAAAAACGAATTACATTTTTATTAAATACTATTGGGACAAAGTCGCGGGCAGAAGCTAGTTTATATATAAATCAAATAATACTCATATTTTACTCGACTTAAATACTATACGTTATTCACTTATTAGTTTTCCGGGAATTTTCGTAATTTTTTTCCAAAAGATCATCTTAAACTTACCATTTACTAAACTTAATTCAATTTTGATATTAAACGAATTTTCAAAATCAATGCATTTTTTAATTAGGCCTCCGATTATACCTATATATTTTATAGATATAGAGATATTGCATCATACTTTTTAATTTGAGACTTTCAAATGAAATTTTTAATTAATTAATGATATTTGCAGTAAAAATGATGATAAAATCTTAGATTAATAAAGTACAGTATTCGATTTATACATTAAATGATATTTTATTCCGTATTTCCGCGGCAATATAAACAAATAACCCACAACGCTGTGATTAATAACCCACATTATGAACTATAAAACTTCTAAAAACTTTCGCTAACCTAAAATTGATCGTGTAATTTTTGCACGTGCGGTTTTCCTACGAGTGGGACAAACGAGGTAATATAACGGTAATATCTACTGGTTTATAGCACCGTGCACATAAAATAAGCTATTATTTGCGATGACGTCATTTGCGGATTGAACTATAAATGTTCAAACGACATTAATTTTGAAATTATTAACGGCAATAATTTTTAAGTTGTAAAATTCATTATATCTTTTAAGCTACAAAAGATATAGTAATTGTTTTTGTTTTACTGAATAGAGTTAAACAAACAATATAATATTACCTACACCAAACAAATCTCAACATTGAAATTTAACCGTAATTTAAACAAAAACGATGATTCAGACATGCTAATTTCAAATCTAAACCGAAACTCGAAAAAAATCGCATTCAAACTAAACCGTAAGCAATCCTACTCAATATTTACCTACTCCACAACCATTCATTTAATTTCATTTCGATTCTCGATTTATTCCAATGTTTGAATCTCGAATCTTATATTAAATCCCCTTCCACTTCGTTACCTCTCACATACTCATGCCTAGAGTCACATTAATTAAATTGAATGCGATTTAAAGCACACTTGAATGGGTTGGATATAGATATAGATGTAACAATGTTGTTGGATGTGTGTTTTAAGACGGGTGGGTCGTATTCAGTATTGGTAATGGCACCTAATGGATTATTTGCCTTTGGCTGCGGGTAGCCGGGTACATTAACCACTACTCTGCGCGCACGCCATTCAAAAGTGTCGCGGCTGCAAAACGTGCAACATCGTGCAAAATTTATTTATTATATTTTCATCATTTTTATTATAACACAATTTAATTTTGCACGTGATAATAATGTGAGCAAGAATCAAAATTCAAAGAAAAATAAATTAAATTATTTTTAAATTGAAGAAAAAAAATCAACACCAGGATTAATAAAAGGATTATTTTTGCATCAAGTTATTATTTTTGAGTTTCTATGCCGTCTGTTTCGTTTGCGGATTTAGACAAAACAAATATGAGTTACCATCACGGTGAGTAATATTTTTAAATTAATTTTTCTGTTTAAAGATTAAATTTTTCTCATTTTGCATTTAAATAGCATTTTTACTGCCTAGACAATAAATTAAATTTAAAATTATTAGTTTTAAGCATAAAAATACTAAATTAATATTAAATTTGATAAATAATAGCTGATTATATAAAATATACGATTTAAAATGATTCTAAAACAATTAGAACACGCCTATTGTTGGCTTCACAGTAATTCACCGTAATTATCTACGTATATGTAGCCTCAATTAGTGTCGAATCATTAGTTTCAATTTTACTCCTCATTGTTTGATTACACACATACACACACACACACACTGGAATGGTTTCAGGACATTAAAGATTAAGCAATCATTCGTAATTGACCAAGAAACAAAACAAAACAATTGAATTATATTTGTATTTTCTATTCATTGCACACATCTGAAATTAGTGAGTTTTGATAATTACGTAGATATATATTATCATTAACATATTCCAGCGGGCATTCCTTTTGTTTAATTCAATTTCGCAATTGTGCAATACCGCCTGGCGCCGATGTTAATAACATACGAGTAAATTCAATTACGCACACACTGTGCGTTTGCGTGTGCAACATAGAACTTACAACATGCCGATATAATTGAAGTTTTATGTCTCCTAGGTCGGCGCGCACGCAAATTCTTTCATGTTTATCACATGTTTCGCATTATATTTGCGTTGAAATTATGAAAATGCGCCGATGCAGTCAGTGTGAGCGGACGTGATTTATTGTGATGTTAAAATGTTTATGCGAATGGAACATTCACTGGAGGTAAACAAATGTTTAAAATGGTTAGTTTATTGTTTTCGATTGAGTTAAATATGGCGCCGCGTTAATAACACACTTTGGTAGCTGATAATTTCCGTAATGTAGTTTTTGTATTGTTGATTGTTGAAGGCGGCGTGTGGATTTGAATTTGAATTAAATGCGTTTGCGGGTAAATACACACACATCGCTTGGGTTACGTAAGAATTATTAGCGAACGAAGGTTAAATGTGTTAGATTTTCCAGTAATTACCTACACAACACATTTATACATACGTCAGGTATTGTAGAGGACAATTATACAGGATAATGAAGAGAAAGAACCGTAAAACTTTTAAAAATGAATTTTTTTCTTTAGTTTATGTATTTTTTGATATTTGTAGTTATTTTGTTATTCGCGATAAAAACAAATGCAATAAATCGAAAATCACAAAAATCTTTAGGTTGGCCAATGCTTTGAGTTGCAGTATAAGTATCGAACATATAATTTTACTAATAAAATATTTATTTCTTGAAAAGTTATTTTTTTACTTAATTTTTGATTTATTTACGCTTTTTATTAATTTATTTAAAATTTCAACTCATTAACGCCGAGATAAATTTAAAATGACCGCTGCCCGCCCATCAGCCATTAATCTAAATTTATTATTATTACAAAATTTCGTTTCTGCATGCGAAGGTTGTGTTGCTATCGGCATTATACGTATTTTGTCTTATTTTTATACTTTTCTATCCGTTTATGAAATTCAACCGATAAATCATGTCAGATCGTCCGTCCCTCTAGAACCGCTTGTTTTTTGCGTCTCTCTTTGATTTGCATAACACTCGAATGACACAAAATACAAGTTGAGAAGTTGATTGGTTGTGTTTCCAAGCGTCGATGATGTTATAAATTATAGCACAATTAGCCGGACACGTTTTACATTTTTCACGGCGTAGATTTGCTAGAAAATGATTTATTTGCATAACAATTCCACGAAGAAATGTAATTAATTACGTAGGTATTTAGTAGAAATTTATTATTTAATTATCTTGAATTTATTTTATTTTAATCTTTTATTTCAATGTTAAACGTGTTAAGTTTCAATTTTCAATGTTAACACAATGTTACTTCATGAGAACTCGAAATGAGTGACTATATTTTTATTTTTATTTTTATAATGCGTGGACATTCCCAGAATTGTTTGAATTTTGAATTTAAAATACACGCAGTTGTTTCGATTTAGTTTAGACTGGTTTTGCTGATTCGTTCAAAGTAAAGTCATTGAAATTACTCTGCGCTACACCTTTCGGAATGCATAATGTTTGAAATGTTATAATGACCTATTTTTTATAAGACACGTTCGCGAATGTTTTCAATTATAATTTTAAAATTCAACTGAATTGAGAACTGAGTTGAGAATGACACAGAGTGACACTTCTCATTCAAGAAACACAAACACGCACCTGTCGAATTTAAATCGTGTTTGTGTGGGCTGTCAAATTGTCAACGACCAAAATTGAAACATACAAACATGAATGGAGTATAAATTGAATTAATTATTAGTTTATTTGAAATAGAGCTAAAAATAATTTAATATGGTGTTTGAATTTTATTTTTTATTCTTGTTTTCGTAAGCTTTTATGCTGAAAATACTTATTTTTAATTCTTATTTCTTCAAAAATAACTTTGACATTGACCTTCTCTTATAATTCAATTGTGGAAATTAAGTCAATATGAAGATACGTTGTTATATTGTATATTTAGTGCGTAAAATTGCCATTTTAGACACGCTAATTTACAAATTTTGCAAATGTGTATTGTTTTAGCACAAATGGTACCATGGTCGATCATTATTTGCCATATAAAACTCTTTTATGAGAATTTTTGTTATATAAAAACGTTTTAAAAGTATATTTATGCACTAGCGCGTCAAAGTACAACTTTATACACTAATAGAACTCAACCAAAGTTTTTATTTTCTAAAATAATCAGTTAATAAGTTAGTAAAATGTACGCAATATTATTTTTTAAAATTTCTGAGATTTGTTAATTGATGATTTTTATTTTCGATTTATGATTGATTGATGTGTGTCATGGACACAATTGCGAAAAAACCTGTCGCCAAATTTTCACCATCCTCTCTTGAAGCACACATCTTGAATACAATATTAATTAATAACATCTCGTCGATAAACGTGTTTCGCAATTGGCAACACACACAGCTGGGGGTATTTTTTGTGTACCGTATTTGTCTGAGCCTGAGCAAAACTTATGCGCATATATAGCGAAAACATGTGCTCGTACAACTTGACGACATATTAATTAATTAATAAACACAAAAAATTAAAGAAAGATTACTTTAAAAGGCATCTTAATGCTTGATTGAGTGCTCGGGACGTGTGGAAAGTTGCGGACGCCATTTTCAGACATTCAGACCTTCTATCTGCCAGCGATTGATTGTGGAAGTATGCAGATTATCGTGTCAAGGAAACACTAGTTTGGAAAAACGATATGATACAGAAACAAAAGACGCTGAATGAAAATGACTCAATTTGTAGCCACAATTATCGAGACAGATCGAAACGTAATTTATGCATTCGGTTTTATTATAAAGTTAATTTAATAAACGAATAAATAGATCGCATGACATCACACTTGGGCGGCACCGTACGACTACACGAAGTGAACTCATGACATTGATGATTATAGGTTATGTGTTTACAATAATAATAAATATAATAAACTATAATAAATTGATTGTTGCTTGGTTCGCGTAGTTTTTTAATAAAAATGAATTTTTATTTATTTGCTCAATAAGATTAGCAATTTTATTTTAAAGAAATTAATTATATAAAGAATTGCTAATAATGCACTTCAGCGCGCCATCTCGGATTTAACTATTTAACTATAATTAATAATTATGATTGAATCTCAATGCCAACTTTTATCCTATAGAAAAGGGCTGTCTTTAGGGTTTTCCCGGCAATTATTCGAATTTTTCTCGCCGTAAAAACCATCCTTGGACTTTAACAAACATTTTAAAAAAAGAATTGGCCAAATAGGTCTAGCCGTTGTTGAGTTATGCGCTTACCAACAGATTTTGCGATTCATTTATATATATATAGATTTAAAATTCACATCGCGAAATTATGACTTGCATGCAAAAATAAATATTGTTCACTTGTGTTAATTGAATGCGCAGTGCAATGAATAAACATACTGCTCTCAAGGAGTTTTGGAAAGTCCTCAGGTGCGAATTGGATTGAAGATGTAAATGTGCGAAATTTCATTAACATCATTAACACCTACGTATTTTTACATTTTTGGGATTTAATAAAAAAATAAATAAAAATAGGTTAGTATTATTTTATGTAGGAAATGAAACAGTTTGAATAAATTTAAATTTCTCCCGATGCAAATATGGCGAAAGAAAGTTGTGCAAATTAGTCGTACGCCCAGTTGAAACCACAAATTGCTTTTAACTTGACATTAGCATTGAAATAAAAAACCAAAAGTTAATTAATTAATAAATATTGATCTTCTGTAAATGAAACCTTGACCGATGAGTATTATTATTGAAGACTTAACTCGATAAAATCATACAGCATAAAGTTTACATTTTATATTTTATTGTTTGTATTCAATAAACGTGTACGAGTACAAGTATTTTGCTTGTGATATTTGCTCGGTGTGATGGTTTTGCATTATACTGCACGCCCACGTGGGATTAGGATGATATTTGTTTATATCTGTGTGCGTGTTTGTGAAGTCCACCCACGCAGAGTGGAAATATTATGACGTGATGTGGATGCTGGCCGGAGAGCGGACGCGGACAAGGTTTGAATGTCAAACGCAAACAACAAATATAAATTCAATCATTGCATTAATATCTATATTATTTATGAATCATTTGATTGATGCTTAATTATTTCAAAGTCTGGACAATAAAATGCTATTTAAATGATTATTGTAGTTAAATTTGATAGGAATTAAAAAAAAATGTTTGTTTGGTTGCTTATATTTGATCGATAATGATTTATTTCAACGTCTAGACAGTAAAATGCTATTTAAATGCTTATTTAAGTTAAATTTGTTATGAATTTTTAAAAAATGTTTGTTTGGTTGCCTATATTATGAGCTATTTAAATTGCATGCAGAAATGTCCTCTTCCTACGATTATGTGCGCCGCGCATCCGACGATCTCAACCGATATAAACTCTCAGGTACAGTACAGCATCTCATTTTTTTTTCAATTTCGAAATATATGTTTCTTTTTGAAATTTGTGAAATAATTGGTGCTTTGTTGGTCTCCACAACATTTGTTTTGCATGTGTCTCTCTGAATAAATCACACCTTTCGCACGTCTGTGTATGGATCATAATAGATCTAATCGAAATGGACGAATTCGAAGAGGATTTCTTTGGCAATCGCCTGCACAATTATTCGTCCACCCTGCCGAAAACGCTGAAGACGTTCAACTCGTCCTTTGACAATGCGTACAATACTTTTAAGAATTACAAATCGCCATTTGAAAGTAAGTGTTTTCTTGTTCAACAAAAAAAAAAGATAAAATTAAAAGATAGAATGAAAACACGTTTACACTTACATGATATTTAGTTTTTTTACATTTCTACACTTGTAATTGCATTGTATTAGATCGGACATGTTTTATTCGGGACCTCTTTGAAGATGTAGACTTTTTCGGCAATCCGATTATCAGCTATCCGCCGAGGCGTTCTAGTTTACGCAGGGATCGTAAGTGGAAAATGAAAATAAAAATCATGCGTTGAACATGGTTAGGAAGCTTTAAAATCCCATTTTCTTGATTTGTTCAAAGCTTTTCAGTTTAAATTTTAGGGAAATTTTATTTGCTTTAAATTGGCTTTCAATAAAAAAAATAGCAAAAAAATATTTAACCTATAAAAATTGCTTTCGAAGTAAAAAATTTTTTTTTGCAAATAATTTAATTTTATTTTTTCAAATTTTGCAAATAATGAATTACATTTTTATTATTCCCCTGACATATAAAACTCTGTACATACAACTCTGTCCACTCGCTGCAACTTCTAGAATTTTAATACAATACATGCCACAACAACATAAACAAACAAAACCATTTCAGTAATACGCTTAATCACTATCTGAATACATCAGGAAATAATTGTGTTTGTTCTCTCTGCGCTCTGTTCCCCGATGCGTAGATAGTCCAGATTATTTCAAGGACGATCCTTTCAAGGATTACACGAGTAGCAGTTACAGCAGCTACAGCAAACCCCCAAGGGCTTTTCACGCGAACGCTCCAACTCCAGGGAGAGATCACGTGAGCGCTCTCCATCTTTACGACGCACGTCTCGTAAGTCAAAATAATCGAAAAATGACTTAAAAACATAAAATAAGTAATGTTAAGTAAAGTTAAGTAAAGATTAACTTTTGAATAAGTTGTAAATATCTAAAATGAACACTGACGAATTTCCCAGTCTTGCTAATACTCGTATATCGTAAATAAAAATGGCGCAACGACATCCGACATCGAAAATGCTTGGTGTCGCACCTTGACATAATAAATTCAAACATATGCGGTGTTGGAAGAGTAACACCGATTTGTTGACAATGTTTACATGGTGCTGGCATACTATTATACAGGGTGTAACAATAACTTTCATAATATTTTACTTTAAAAAGATTTTTTATTTTAATTACTCTAATATTTATTATTATGAAATAATTTTAAGTATATTATCATTCCTATAGATGATTTTCGCATTTCCTTTCCTTTATGCTCCGCCCACGTGAAATTGCTCTCGTGTTACTAATGCGCGCGACATTCGAGAAGTTTGCGGATATTTGCATGACGTTTTGTCGCTCATCTCAGCGTCCGGTCGACCGGATAATGACTAGAGGCAAGACGTTGAGTTGCCCGACAAATTAGTTGCACGTTGACCACTGCATCGTGTACTAGGCATTTTTTATTCACTATTCACAACAAATTTTCACTTTTTTCATTTATTGCATCTTGTGCTGCATTGTGGTATGCTTTCTGTTTTTATTTTCTGTGTGTGTTTGGCTGGTGTGACTAGTTTTGCTTTGTTTAGTGGGTAGCACGGGCACTGCATCCTCAATGGACGCCCTTTGGGACTTACACCCGCGCCGGCTAAGCGAGGCCGGTCTCAGCAGATATTCAGGTATAGTTAAAATCACAAAAAATCAAAATTACATTTTTCACTATTTATTTATAAAAAAAATCATAGTTTGTGTGTTTTTTATTTTTGTTTTCTAGGAAATAAAATATGTTTTTTTATATATAAATGTTAAAAATATTAAATTTATTGTAGATAACAGCACGGTGTTAACCGAAGACACAAACAGTTTCATCATTGGTCAGCGTGTGTTTGTGGGCGGGACGAAACCCGGCCAGATTGCGTACATTGGCGAAACGCAGTTTGCTCCAGGCGAGTGGGCTGGTATAGTTCTAGACCAGCCAATCGGTAAAAACGATGGCTCTGTGGGCGGCATCAGATACTTTCAATGCGAGGCGAAACGAGGCGTGTTTAGTCGCCTCACACGCCTCACTAGATACCCCCTAGGGCCGGACGTTGCCGGAGGCGGAGATTCATACTGTGCTAGCCCCTCCCCTACCAATGGCATGCGTAAAACACAGATTTCCCCCACAATGAGCACAAAATCAGCTTTAAGTAGGTTTAGATAACCTCAAAATATATTTTAGGTTAATCAATAAATAATTGTAGGTATTTCAAACACTAGTTTGGCTTCTGCGCATGTGGATTTCAAAGTAGGTGATAGGGTGATTATCAAATCTGGCCAAGGATCCAAAGTGGGCACGTTGAGATATATGGGTTTCACTACTTTTGCCAATGGAGAATGGTGTGGTGTTGAATTGGATGAACCAAGGGGTAAAAATGATGGTTCAGTTGCTGGTGAAAGGTATAATGATGAAATATTTATGCGTATGATGTTTATTTAGTGATTTGTTTGTAGATATTTTCTTTGCCGGCCGAATTTTGGTCTATTTGCGCCCGTGACTAAAGTAAGTCGCTCGCCGTCCAATCGCAGGCCGAGTAACTGCGTTGTGCACTCGACGAGCATGCGCCGCTCCAACTCGAAGGAGTCGCTTATGTCTATGACATCGTCGCTTGCGTCTGCCTCTGCGTCTGTCGCGGCTGCGCGAAGGGTAAGACTGGGCGTGACGTCGTTAACACCCAAGGTTGGTTATGGTTGTTGATTAAATAACAAAAAAACAACAACAACAACCAAAACCTACAAATAAACATTTAAAAAAACTAATTATTAATTATTAATATATTAGTTACGTTTTTGTTGTGTTGAAAAATTAATGTTTTTAATGTTTTAATTGATTAATTTGTGGGTTTTATTTTGTTTGTTTTTGTTTAATATGTGTTTATATGATTTTGATTGAAATTAATGTGTGAATTGTGTTTTACGCTTCGTTTATGAACAAATAAATAGAAGACGCAAACGCCTCCTAAAGCCAACTCCACCCCGCTGCCGTCAAGGACCGCCCTGCAGGTAACCTATTCGTACTAATTTCTCGAGAACACACGACGTCTCACGACGACTACTGCTACTGCGCGTTAATTGCATTTTAGTTGTTTTTTTTTTTTGACAAAAAGAAAAGAAATTAAGTTGAAACATTTGCACCTGCTTTGCTGCAAACAGAATTGTAGTCAAAATATTATTAAAACAAAACACAAAAGAAGTACTGTACCTAATTTGATATTTGTATCTACATAAAATTATCATTAATATTTAACGTAGAATAAGTTAATTTATTAACACATGATTGTTAGTGTTATTTTTTGTTTAGTTTATGTTTTAAGTTTGGAATTTATTGTAAATTGCATTGCTATTACCACTACTACTGCTGTTGTAAAAGAATTACATTTATTTTGATAATTTATTTAATTATTTGTTGTGTCTATTGTTGCTATTATTATTATTATGATTTTATTGCTTCCTTATTTTATTTTACTTTGTATTGTTTTATTCTTTTTTGGTAGTGCTTTGTTTTTGTTGTTGTTGTTTTGATTGTTTGCTTCTTGAAATTGGTCTCCTTGAGTGCACGCCAACACTGACAGCTTCCAGTCGGTTTTATTTATGCAAATTTCATGTAGGCAGCGCAGCGCGCACATAATACCTACTTATAATAATAAAGGTAAATTGGAAGCGCCGTTATAAAATGTTTTTATAAATTTATTCAAAGTAATTAAAAGAAGGGAATAAATTATCGGATGAAATTTGCTTCTGCTTTTTTTAAAGTAGAAAATTACATTGAACTTTAAATAGGTCAAACATTTTATGGTTTTATTTAATTTATTGATTAAAAATTATTTATTTTGAGTTGACATTTACTTAAATTGATAGTTTTGATTAATATCTACGCTTGAAAACAAATATAATTTTTTTATCTTTCCTAGTTTTTGAGTTATAATGATTTTTATCTTTGCATTTATCAATAATTTCAATTGTAGACTTGTTTTATTTTGATAGTTACACCAAATCAACAACGCGGTCGTATTTTGTGCTTTGTTATATTTATTCTCCATTAAATTTCCTTTTTAATGATTGTTTAATCAATGTTTTACTATTTTAATGTATAGAGATATACAGCCACAAAAACTGACAACTTTAAAATGCATTTCGGTTGGAATTCTGTTTTATGTCTGCTGATTTTGTGGAGATGTAACACATCTATTTAAAATCACAGTGCTTTAAATAAACAATGGTTGAAAAGCAAATTTTAAAGAGGATAAACCTTTCTTAGTGAAAAATACGTGACATTTGTTGTTTTTGTTTGAATTTAGAGTCAAATGAATCCAAGTTTCACACATTCAAAAGATAAAATATATAATATCAACGAAATTAAACAATTCTGATAGATAATTTCTTCCATAATTAATAAATTTCATCAGTAACTATAGAATACAATCAATAAAAACATTTTTACTATTCAAAGATCAAATAAAACCATAAAATTTTTAAAAAATCACAAAATTAAATTTTTTAAAGTTCAAGGAGAAACAATGAAAGATAAAACAATACAAACGAATATTACTACTTTCTTAATTATAATACTTGCAGTTTTATCACTTGATTAACTTTTGTTGCGCTTATTGACCTTGAATGTCCAAATTTGGCAGACAATAAACATTTATCTCCCTATTAAACTATACAAACATGTTCATAGTTTACACCTGTGTCCACCTATAATGTAAACAAATGTATGTCACATTCGCGCACGTAATCAACGCGCAATTAAATCAATTATTTGGAATTGCAGGCAAATGTTTCAACTTTTACAACACTTTTCAAGTTCAACTAGAACTAGATTATCTGTAATTTTAATTTAGTGTTGATACATTATAATGTGTTTTACATTGTGATAATTGCCTTCTCGTTGAATATAGGACGTGCTCAAAGAAAAGCAGCAGCACATCGAGCAGCTGCTCAAGGAGCGTGATCTGGAGCGCGCGGAAATCACAAAGGCGGCAAGTTTGGCTGACGAGGCCGAGCAGCGATACGTATCGATACAGAAAGAATTTGAAAATGTGAGAAGACAGCATGTTTACATTCAAAATTATTTATATTACCATTCTGGTGTGGTATTTTTCAGTATCGACTTGACTGCGATCGTAAACTAAAAGAATACGTATTCAAATTGACTGAGTTCGAGAATGAGAAGAAGGAATTGTTGGGTCAGCTGGATGAAGAGCGTGGCAAGAATGAAGATTGGCAATTTAAGTTTGAAGAAGCTGCGATTATTAAATCCGATGCAGAGGTAAACAATAATTGTTATCAAACTCAGCAGGCATCATTATTTATACATTTGACACTATTATTTATTATTACAGCACCGTATCAATGCACAAAACGTAAGAACAGAGTTTTCAATTGTGTGTTTTTCATTGGTGTCTTTTTTGGTTGTTTTTCTTTTCATTTTTTGTGTTTATTACTTTTTGATGTAAAAATTTCGGTTTTTAAACGTTTTCTTCGATGTGTGATTTGTTATTTGTTTAATTTTTGATATAATTCGATTGTTTTAATTAATTTCTGGTAATTTTTAGAGTACAAATGAAGAACATGTGGCCAAAATCGCCGAGTTGAATTTACAACTATCACTACTTCGGTCTGAGCTTGAAGTTGATGCTGGAAAATTATCCCAGGCGAATGAAACTATCAACACCTTGAAAGAAGCAAATGAAGCTGCCAAAGTTGAGTTGGAGCATGCGATTGAGAAGCGCTCTAGTTTGGAAAGTGAAGAAACAAAATCTATAGGTATGAAACTTGGTTTGAAAATTGGCTATAGGCAACCCAATATTCACTTAACTTTAAATTTATACAGAATTGGTTCAAACTTTGCAATCCCAAGTTGAAGAAGCGAATACAACGTTGAAGCAACACCAAGAATTGTCTGCTAAGCAGATGGATGATTTGAATAAACAGTTGGTTCGGTTAAATTCCGAACATGAAGTGGAGACATTTAAACAAAATCAAGAGATTGAGGAACTGCGTGCCAAATATACCAACGATATTAACGCCAAAAATGATGAATTGAAATTATTAGCTATTAACTTTGAAGAAGTGAAAAATTCACTTGAAAATGTTCAGAAAGAGCATGAAAAATACAAATATGAAGCTGGAGTTGGTGAGCAAACGATGAAGAAAGAATTAGATAAAATCAAAATGGAGATGAGTGCTAAGGTTTTAGAATTGGAGAATCAGCATGAGACTAGTAAAACGCAAACGGATGATATGAAGAAACTAGAAGAAGCTTTGGCACAAACACAAGCTGCTTTAGAGAGTCAGATTCGTGAAACAGAAAATGTTAATATGGAAGAAGAAAAATCCATGATTGAAGTGGAAAAGTTAAAGGAGATGCTTGAACAATCAAATGGAACTATAAATCAATTGAAAACAGAGATGGAACAGAAAGTAGAAGATTCCAGGAAAGAGTTAGAGACATCAAATGTGAAAATAAACGAAATGACAGAGCAAATGAACGCGTTGAAGAGTGAATTAACATCAAAGATTGATCTATTTAAAGAATTGCAATCAAAATATGAAAATTCCGAAGAAGAATTAGCTAAAACTTGCCAGAAATTAGAGAAGGAAAAGACTGAGTTTGCGCAGGTTCAAGAGAGATTGAATCTTGAGTTGAAAAATCTGGAACAGTTGAAGAATAAAGACTCGCAGTTGGAGTTGCAGCTTGGAGATTCACAAAGATGTGTTGCACAACTCGAGGAGAAAATGGCGGAGGCGCTTGTGAATAAAAACAAGATGGAAGCAGAGATTCAACAATTATTGGGTGCTAGTGGCGAGGAAAGTTCTAAACTAGAAATATTAAACAAAGAGTTGCAGGCGAAACAAACAGAATTAGAAAACAGCAAGAATCAATTCGAAGCAAAGATTAAGGAGTTGGAGCATTCTCTGCAGGAAGTGAAGATTAATTTTACAAATATGGAAGAAAAATCGAAAATTGAGAAAGGGGATCTTGAGCAAATGAATGCAGCTTTGAAGCAAACAATTGAAGAACTGAATAATGCCTCTGGTAAATCTCAAGACAGTTTGAATAAAACTTTAAGTGAGGTTAGAGATGAGTTAAAAGCTATTAAGCTAGATGTCGCTGATAAAGACGCAGCACTTGAGAAACTCAAACAAGAATTAGGAAATGAAGTTCAAATCAAATCTAATTTAGAATCTAAATTTGAAGAAAGCACCAAACACACTCAAGAATTGCAAGTTAAACTTGAAGAAGCTCTTAAAGAAATTGCCGCTTTAAACGAAAATGTGCAAAGTGCAAATGAACAGCTTCAATTGGCACATAAAGATGTACAACAACGCGCTACAGATAACGATGATTTAGTTACCAAGATGAAAGCCTCCTTCCAAGAACAAATTGATGTATTAAATGCATCTGTTACCGAAAAAGATGTAACTATTCAAGAACTACTTGCAAATATTGAAGAAATTGAAAAGCAGAACAGTCAAAAGGACGCGAATGCAACCGAAAAAGATCTAGAGATTGAAACTATGCTCAAGAATCATCTTGAAGTTAAGAAACACTCGGAAGAGTTACGTTTGGACGTTGAAAATACCAAACAACAATTAGAAAACGCCCAGGCAGAGATTCTCAAGTTGAATGAAAGAATGCACGAAATGACCGCCAAGATAACTGAGAAGGATCACGAACTACAGGAAGCGCACAAAGGAGAAACTGTTATTCTTGAAAAGAACAACAAAATCACCGCACTTGACACAAAACTGATTGAAGTTAACAAAACGCTTGAATCTATAAGCGCACAGTTAGAAACGTCCAAAACCAATGAATTACAGCTACAAAATCAATTAGAGATTAAGATTCAGGAGTGTCAAAAACTACAGAATGATGTGGAAATTAGTGCAACCAAAGAGGATGAGATTAATAAATTGAAAAATGAGATGCAAATTATGCAAAAGTCGATGAGTGAAACCGAAGTATTAAATAATGAATTGCGAGAAAAGTTAGGCAAGATGGTTGACGCTGAAACCATTAATATAGGCGAGATGAAACAGTTAACAGACAGGTTTAATCTCTGTTTGAAGTTGTTTACAGTATTAAAGGTTACTGATGAACACAAACAGCAATTATTGGCGAGTCAGGATATAAAAGGCTCGGAAATATTAGTGGATTTGGTTACAAAATTGCCAGTACAAGTTATCAACGATAATAAAGATAAACTCCAGCAGTTGGAGCAAATGATCAACACAAGTAATGAAAGTCTACAAGCTGCCAACGATAAAATCAAACATCATCAAAATGAGATGTTATTGATGCAGCAGGAGGTGTTAAAGGCTAGATTGGAAGCAGAGAGAAAGGTTACCACCGTAAAGATTTCCGATGAAACGGTAAGATTTCATTTTATTAGTTTGAAGGTTATGCTTTAATATAGGTTATGTTTTCGATATTAATTTGCATGTTTTTTTTTTCTGCTTGTTGTGTCTTTTTGTTGGATTAACACAAGATCAACAACAATAACACGGGCAAATCGAATTCGAATGATTACAAGCAGCTGCTGGAGGAGAAACTGGAGGCGGAGACACAGGTTGAGTTTCTGCATTCAATCATCGCGGATATGCAGAAGAAAAACGAAGAGCAAAAGGCACGCATTGAAATTCTTGAGAGTGGATATAGTCCTGCAGCTGCAGATGAATTAAAATTGTAAGATATCACATTTTAAATATAATTCCGTCATTTTATAGTTTTTAATGTATTTTTTTAATGCAGGATTGGTTTAATTGATAAAACTGTCACACCGCGTATGTATTGCGATATTTGTGAAGAATTCGATCTGCACGAAACCGAAGATTGTCCGACGCAAGCAGATGATGATATGCCTGCACCTCCTCCACCTGATGGCAAGAAAAAGGAGATACCACCACCGAGGCCTTATTGCGAAATCTGTGAAGGTTCGTCATTGTGACTTATATTATTCTGTATTTGGATTAATTCTTATTGTTTTACTTGTAGCATTTGGTCATGCGACGGATGACTGCACAGAGGACGAGACATATTAACAGCAATGCAGATTAGTTCAATTTATAACGAATTATACATTATTTGTTATTGTTATTCTTATATTATTAACTTATTGCCCGAACGCTCCGGTTTTGCGGAGTTGTGAAATACATTTTTATTAAATCGTAAATGGAGATTGCATTTATCTTAAACTAAGAAACAGATCCTTTATAATTTCATTCCTACTATACCGACATTGGAAGAGAAGAGAGAATTGCGCATTTTAAATGAAATTAAACTAACCTTTACGTTATTTTTAATGAAAACAAAACGTTTTTATGCTGTTTTTCGCGTTAAAACGCAGATGTAAGCTCAAAAACCTTTGCACCTTTCAAAATTTACTTTAAATTACACAAAAACAACGTAAAACTTAAAATAATAGCTTTATGTATTGCCCACTTTGATATACATATACTTTACGCTTATTAATAGTATTAAAATTCCTGTTTTTGCTTGTTTATTAATGTAAATTGAGGGTGTTTGCAACACGTGTAACACTATCACCCGAAAACGTATAATAATCTCATTAATTTTAATATAACAGCGCACGCGAATGCGCAATCATGATTTTTGCATACTATACGCCTAGTATTACAGCAACAGTAATCTGTACTCCGAATCCTAATCAATTTAAATCATTTAATTATTGATTTTTAAGCGCTCTGCTACACGAGTAATGGTGCGCACAGTGCGCGCGCATCGCAAACAAATGCAACTCGCCACCACTCAAAACGGCCACAACGGGCGCTACAACCAGCGAAACAACTCGCGATCGGCTGATTGTGACATTGGATGCACTCTGATCACGGTGATTCGCCTCGTCTGCTTTATCGGTCCAGGCTATTACAGTGCAAACACAATGCGTGTATAACCGATTTACTAGTGTATTATCAAGCGACCGTTTCCAGAGATTCATTTGTAATCGAACAACATCGACGCAGCGAATAAACAATCAGTGTTGGCGTGATACGAAACAGACGAACGTCTAGTTATATTTCATCAAAATCATACTCACAGGAGACGATAACGCAGATATAGTATTAAAAAATAAGTAAAAAATGTTTGCGCTGGTTGTTATTGTTGCTCTCGTCGGCTGTACATTAGCACAGAACGCCGTTAACAATGACCACAAGAATCTCGATAATAATGAAATAAATTCCAGTGGGAATGATATGGAGCAATGTCAGGCTGTGTGCGTTGATATTTTCTTTTTATTACCTGATGTAAGTATTTATATTGATTCCACATCAAATTTGATCATTTTCTAAGCAAATAATTTGTTGATAACACTAGAAAATAATAAAATATTGATTTTTTCCATACATAACTTATGATACAATAACATTATCAACAAAATTCTTTCATAGTTAATTATGAAATGTGATACATAATCAATAAATGAAAGTAACACTTCTAAATGTTGTTTAAAAATTCATTTATATTTTTAGGATCCATTGGCAATGTCAGCGTGTCAACGAGGTTGCCGCATATTCAATATTATTTATCTCAGAGACGATCGCAATTTGAATAATAGCAAAGATGAATGTTATTCATGTAAGCAGTGTAAAATAGGATTATGTTTTCTTAGTTTGTGTTATATGAATTGCTTCTTTGTGCAGCTTGTGTTGATGCATACTCTCAACTTGACCTGAACACAGCGTGTCGAAAAGGCTGCAAAAATATGTTGCGTAAAAAGCAGAGTGAGTTGGAAGCTGTCATCGTGTACATCGAACAAGACACGAAGAATCTCGACAATCCGCAGCCGGAACTTGACGAGCTGGAAATGACTTGGTTCATTGAGAATTACGCACCGCGCGAGTTGCATTACGTCGATGGTCAGCGCGATTACAAAATACCCGAGAGTATGTATCGTACGTTACCGATCGAAACTCTCTTCGAAGAGTTGACTAAACCTATGAATCCGCCTCCGAGCGGTGATTGGCTGGATTGCGCATCGAGAAACTCCGGTATTCCGAAGTGGATACTCGTGTCAGCCATCATTTCGGCCATCTTGGTAGCGTTATATTTAAGTATATCGAGCGAAAAGAAGGTTATCAGTGATGACTTATTGATTGGAGATGATGAGGATGATCAAGGTGAAGAGAAAGAAAAGGAAGCGGAGCCTTTACCGGCGAAGGTTCCATTGCTGGAATTAGATGAACAGAAACATGACAATGAGGCACAAGATGGCCGACAGGATGTACTGTTCTCGACACCGCCGACAGCTCCACCAAAATACACCATAGAGAATGAAAAGTCTAAAGAAATTTGAAGAATTTGAGACTAAAGGTAAGTGATTTAATTACATATATTAAAACAATCAAAGCAAATTTGGTCAGTAATTAATTTCGAAATGGATCTCAAAATTAACCAAAGAAAATGAATTTTATCATTTTTTTTAACAAGTAATTGGGTGTAAAATGTTTAATATATCTAAGAGAAAACCCCGTTTCATATGACTCGAATGATAATGAACGTCATTGTGATTATATTTTATATTGTAACGTCCTACAATTTATAAAATTTCAACAAAATTTACTAACCTAACATTTAAGACATGAAGAAAAGCATGAAAACTAAAGAAACGAAGCATTTTCTGTGTGATTTCCTATTTATAAGATGTCTACTTGATAAAATACTTACCCACTAGTCACACATAATATTGGACTAACCCATGATACTAAGAAATTAAGAAACAAACAAAAAAAGCAAAATCTGTGTATACTCTTATCTTTAAATAACTAATTTTACATTAAATTATAAGAATTCGACTTCTGATAGTGTTTTATGTCACAGTATAAATGTTTAACCGCACAATATTCTGTTTTGGGACTTTAACATAGAAACAATTTGGTGTCTCGGTGATAATTTGAGATTGCAGTTGAAAGATGGACTTCAGAATATTTTATTTGCTTTAAATTTAATGGAAGTATTCATAAAACTACAAAATGGTGACGTTTTTAGGGTAAAATACTATTTTTAGAAATAATATTTTTTTAAAGTTTTTTTTATATAATTATGTTATATTTTCATAAAAATAAACAAAAAATAACTTTATTTACATTTTTATCACACTGGAGATCCATCTGAAACAGTTTAGATATTATCTTTGCTAATCCTTACTACATGTGACACAATACGAGTAATTATACATGTTTCTACCCCACTCGATTGTAAATCTCGCTCTCCATGATGTGATGTTTGGAAGCAATGACGAATGAACACACAAACCACTTAAATGTAAACCTAAAACATAACGAATTTACGTCGAATTTAAACCAAAAGCAAACAAGTCACCTCGTTATTCGTGCAAATTGTTACGACGATTTTGTTACATATGCTTTGCAATAATAAACAAACCCAATAATAGAGAATTATTTAAAAAAGGGTAGTTTAGTTTTGAGTGTGTCGATGAACACAAGCATTTACACTTTGTTTCTGTATGATAATTATAAATAACTATATTTTATAAAATATTGTACCTACATATACATGAAACAAATGTATTATTATTGTAAAATTACAATCTGAAGATAATTACATTGTTATATTCAATTATTAATTCGTATTAATAATCAGCCGCAGTGTTCGCAAGATAATCTCTTCGGCCAATGTTGGATGCTTGTTTGTTTTGAATGGCTTCCAGTTTCGGACAGTCGGTGATTCTGTGACCGAGACCACCGCAATACGCGCAGCCTTTATCATCTATAAAGTAACGTAATTATTAGTAAAATTAAATTTTTTGAAATAATTTTCATCTTACCTCCAAGATTGAGATATTTCTCATTGTCAGAACATAATTCCGCTAAGAATTGCGGTACTTTTTGTTTCGCTTCTATTAGTAGATGTTTTAAGTCAAGGAGAACTGATTCATCGTTAGATTTATTTATGAATGTTGTCGCAACACCTTGTTTACCAGATCGACCCGTACGACCAATGCGATGCACGTAGTTTTCTACATCGTCAGGCATGTCGTAGTTTATAACATGTTGTACGTCAGGAAAATCTAAACCTTTGGATGCGACGTCTGTGGCAACCAGTACATCTTTTTGTTTCTTGCGGAATGCTTCAACTGATCGGGAGCGTTCTTCTTGATCTGTAAACATAAAAATATTAAGTAATTTTATGCATGTGGGATGTTAAAAGTAGTTACCTTTGCCACCATGGATGGCTACAGCTTCCACGCCTTTTAAAAGTAAATATTCATGAATTGCATCGACGTCTTGCTTCTTTTCCGCGAATATTAACACTGGTGGTGGAGTTTTTTGCAAACATTCAAGAAGATACACGACTTTAGCTTCCTGTTTAACATATTCCACTTCCTAAAGATGATAAATAGTTATTATTTTCTTTAAAACTAATGTTTTTTGTTAACAAACCTGCATAACATTCAAAGATGCAGCACCAGCCCGCCCAACATTGATGGTTATCGGTTTTACTAAAGCTGAACGCGCGAAATTCTGAATTTTCTTCGGCATTGTCGCTGAGAACAATAATGTTTGTCTTTGGCCCTAAACAAACATTTTAAATATTATTATCATAAAGATATCCATAACAAAGTATGCTTACATTAAAATATGAAAATATAGTCCTGACATCCTCCTCAAAACCCAAGTCAATCATCCTGTCAGCTTCGTCCATGCACAAATATCGACAAACACCTAGCCGCACGGTTTTCTTCTCCAACATGTCCATCAATCTGCCTGGTGTTGCGACTAGAATGTGTACACCTTTCTGAATTACTTCAACGCATTCAGACACAGGTACTCCGCCGATTGCTAAAGACGTGCGGATTTCGGGCATGTTGAATTTTTTGACAGACGCGCAAAATTCAAGAATGATATCGTAGGTTTGTTTGGCTAATTCTCTTGATGGACAGATGATTAGACCGTATGGGCCTTCGTTTCGAATGAAGGGCATTTTAACTTCTTGTTCCAAACAGAACATTATTAGCGGTAGGACGAATACCATTGTTTTGCCACTACCAGTGAATGCAATGCCGATTAAATCACGTCCTTGTAATCTAAAATAACAAGAAAATAGATGATTAAGTTTGGTTATGTTAAGAAGTGACGTTATAGGTTAAATAGCTTGAAATGTAGGTTAATATTTATTAAACTTACACGGTAGGAATGCCTTGGACTTGAATCGGTGTAGGTTTACGAATTTTTCGGTTTTCTAACGCTGCCAGAATGCCTTTGTGCAATTTCATCTCTCTGAACGACTTCAGTGGTGCTGGAATGTTCTCGCCTTCAACTAATATTCGCAAATCACGTCGAACTGCATCGTGTCGTGATTCAGGCATTGCTAGGATATAACCTGGAGCTGTCCAACTGTTAATATAAATAAATACAATTAATTATTCAAAGAAAAATAGAAATTTCTATGTCATACCTTGTTTTGATAGGATTATTATACTGAATACCCTTGGCCAATTCACTAACACCCATCAAAGCCTTCTTTTCAGCAACACTTTCAAGGATTTCTTCTTCTTTCTTCAGTTGTCGCTCGACTGCGCTAACTTTTTAGCTTCTGCAAGCTTTTTCAGCTCTGTGTGTTGATCTAGCAAAGAAATATTGTTCTTTCTGCCCCAGATTTCTTCCTCATCCTCATCATTTGTGTCATTTTCACTCGAGGATTTTGTTTTCTTTTGTTCATCTTTTAATTGCCCTAATCGACCGAGTTTCTTTAATTGCTGCTTTTGCGCTCTTTTACTGGTACATAAGGAACATAATCGTCTTCTTCGGATTCTGATTTATCCGTTTTGCGATAACGCTAAAATTAATAAACAAATTGTATGTTTAAAATATATCTTTATTTAATTAAATGTTTGTTGTTCTTACCTTAACTGGAGGTTGATTTGATGTCATTTTATTTACTACCAAGTAATATTTTTGTTGTTAACTAGTTTTTATTTTGTTGTTTTGCTTATAAACTCCGACGATTCCTATCGATTCTTTTGTTGGTTATGTTTATATTTACAAATTAAGTGACACTGGAGGTATATACAAAGGATTACGAAGTGTATAATAATCAATAATTTAATTTATTAAATAACTTTGATTTATAATCCGATGAATGTAATAAGAATTTATTATTAACAATATTTCATGTATAAGTTTACATTTCTTAATTTTGTATTATATTTTATTTTATTCTTTGAATGAATGTTTTGCCTTGTGTTTGCACCTTGTATGTGCGCGTTATTTAAAATCATCGATTTTGACAGCTGAAAACAAAAAAGTTGGGTTATACCATTCCAGTTTTGGCTCTTGGTCGCAGTGAAAATTTGTGATAAATTAGTGATAATTTGGAATATTATACACGAAATTATTAAAATGGCAAGTGCCAACGACGAGTCAGGTATGTCCTTTCATATTTTAACATGTACAATTGTTGCACCCGCTTGCAACAAGTACAAATTCGTATTTTAAAAGTCAGGTTATTATTTTTGAATAGTCATTGTAGAGATCATTATTTAAAAATATTTAAAATCTTCTAGTGTTGCTTGAACGAGTATTTTTACGCGTTGGAACGGCCGACACTGACGAACAGTTTCAAAATGTGCTTGCTAAGTTTCTACCACCTGTTTTACTTAAACTTGCATCCCCACATGAAGGCGTTCGTAAAAAGGTATAAAAATATTATTAGGTTGCTGGTATTCTTATTTTAAAATGCATTAATTAATGCATTTGAAGGTGATGGAGTTGTTGTTGCACGTTAACAAACGCGTCAAAAGTCGTTCTCAAGTACAACTTCCAGTTGAAGCACTCTTGCAACAATATCAAGACCCAGCTACAACTTCTTTTGTGATTAACTTCACAATCATCTATTTAAAGTTGGGTTTTCCGCGTCTCACTGTTGATGAGCAGGTTGCACTAGTACCATTGCTTCTAAATTCTTTGGAAGGAAAACCACAGACTCATCAAGACAGTCTGCTTTTGTTGATTATTCCTCTGCTTGGAAAGGTGACAGTTCCAACAGACCCTGCAAAACGGTCACTTTTATTTGGACTCAATGAGAAACCACAGATTAGTAAACATTTGTTGGTTTTATTGGTGGACATGTTACTTTTACCTTATGGGTATGTAATTTTACAACAAAAAATTAATTTTTGTTCATTAAATTCATGCATTGGCTTATTTTAGTGCCATAAGCCCAACTTCAAACCCTGCTAACAAAACTGACGCTCCTGCACTATCAATACCGCCTGGTATGTCTGAATATTCATTTAAAAGAGTGACCACCGACTACGCGCTGAAACCAGAAGAACTCGAGCAAATTAAACTTGGGATTGTTAAATTTCTCGCGTACGAAATTTTCCCAAACGAGGAAGTTTTACTTCACTTGATTGTCGCAGCCAGTGACACTCGTTTTAGTGTTGCGAACTTGGCTGACAATGAGCTGAAGAAAATTGTCGGACAGCTGGATTGGTCGCTACCGAGTATCAGTATGGGTTTGTATATGCTGTTTCTGGGATCGCAGACGCAGAATGTCAAGCCGAACATGAAAAAACTACCAGCTAGTACGCGAATCAGGCTGAAACTTTTGACTTATTTGTGTCGCGTCACCGGAGGTGGATTTGTTTTACCACCGGCGATTCAAGTCATTTTTGATTCGCTTTATGGAACCAATACGAACACCAGATTAAAAACGCTTGCGTTGAATTTCACAATCAACATGGTTCAATTGTAAGTGTTTAGTTAAAATGTTTTCTAGAAAAAATATTTTTTATTTTTTTGTATTTTTGATAACTTGTTGATATTTTCAGCGCGGATACGGATAATTTAGCGAAAATATCCAATGTTTTAAAGTCTGGCATGATTAAATTGACCAATGAAGGTGAATTGATTCACCAAGGCCAAGCTTTTGTTGTTTTGGGAGCGATAAGTCGCCGATTTCCGATGGTAGTCTTTCACGACACTAGTCTTATTGAAATGTTTTACAAAAAGCTAGAAGAAGGCGACACCGACTTAAAACTGCAAATTAGAGAAGGCGCATTGAATGTGATCCAAGCTTTTAAATACGAGAACAATCCATCTGAGTGCAATCACAATGATCGATTGAATATTTTGTACTTGATGTTGAAGTTTTATATGCAGAGCCAGGAACCGATGGTGCGATTTGTTGTCGTGAGGAGTTTGGCGTTGTTCTTTCCACCCGATCATGTACCGTCGAAGTTTTTGCTTTTATTGGCGAGTGGGGACACGTAAGTTGACCAAATATAAATTAATATTGCTTAATTTTACTAATTAATTTAATTTTTTAAATAGTAAAGATGATGTTTCAACTGACGCGTTAAAATCACTCTATGGTACATCAAGGAGACAAGATGTTGATTTATCAGCCAAACCAACTGAATCAACTAATTCGCTAGCACCCAATGAGGATCAAAAAGTTACCATGCCACAATTTGACCAAATTATTGAATACATCCACGCGGAAAGCAACAAAAAAGACAATCCGTATAGAACTTCAATTGGTAACAATGCAATCCCATTTCCACCAAACATTTTCGTCGAAATGTTGATTTATTCCCGATTGTGTTTGATTCAATCGTTGGAAGTGCCACTTACACGTGATGTATTGAAACATCCCACTGATGAAAGTCCTGTAATTCGTGCGTACTTAAAGCAACTTTATAACAATCATGAAATGAAGGCTTCACTTGTGAAGTATATTGTTTTATTGAGGCAACTTGTAATGACGAATCAAGCAGTGGAACCGCTTAGTTGTTTAGTTGAGGTAGTTGGTTGTTTGCCAGAGTTGCAAACTGATTTGGAGTTGGATTTGACTAAAGTAAGAGACTTGTTATTATCGACTAAAGAGGAGACAAGGGAACACGCTGCGATTCTCTACGGGATTTTAATCAATGAAGCAGTGGATAAAGAAAAAGAATTTGATGAGGTTTTGGAGTATCTTTTGAAGTTAACTGCTAATAAGAGTGTAGAGGCTCAGAATGGTGGTATTTTATCTTTGGGATGTTGTTTAGAGAGGAGATTAATGACCAAAAAGAGTTTAAGGAGGGATATGTTGAAGAATGTAATTGAAACAATTGGTAAGTTAACCTACAATAATAATTTTGTTGACATAACCTCAATTAAATGAATTTACTAACCTTAAAAATTATTCCAGCTTCATTTTTGCAAAGTCAACAAGTGCTCCTCTCTAGCGCTGCCTGTATTTCCCTTGGCCTCATAGCTAAGTCAACATCTTTGCCACTGGAAAATGGTCTGGATGATAAATCAGACACAGAGAGTCCCGATATAAAGAAAATGGCGAAACTTACCAAACAGGTTCTTATTACGCAAGTATTAGATGTAATGAACAATGTGAAACTTTCTACAAAATGTCGCGAACGCGCTGTTAGAGCACTGGGTTTACTCTGTGTTGGCGAAGCAAACTTTCCGTTCACCCGGCAGGTAATCGAAGGCTTTATCAACACCGTCAAAGATACCAAGGACGTCGAAGTGCACTTCACCATCGGTGAATCTTTGGTAATGTGCATTCAGGGTACAACGTCCTCTGAAGCGCGGAATGCTTGGGTAATCAGCAGCGATGATTATTCAAAGTCCGTTCAAACAGTTGGAAACAACGATGAAGATTTATCATGGCTGTTGGATGAACTCTTAAAATACTCTTTATCAACGCATCCTAATTCAAAACAGGCTGCAAGTATCTGGTTATTGGCATTATTAAAATCATGCATGGAGCGTAAGGTTATTCAGGATAAACTCAGGACGATTCAAGCTGCGTTCATGGATCTCCTTGCGGTGAATAGCGATATTGTTCAGGATGTTGCGTCGAAAGGTCTTTGTTTGATTTATGATTATACTAAATCAGAAGAATTGTTAACTGCGCTTGTGGATCAACTTACTAGTGGCAGACGGCAAGCAGTTCAAGTATCAAATGATACTAAACTGTTTGATGAAGGACAATTGGGCAAAAGTCCTACTGGAGGAAATTTATCAACTTATAAAGAGTTGTGTAGTTTAGCTTCTGAGTTAAACAAACCCGATTTGATTTATCAGTTTATGCATTTGGCGAATCACAATTCCATGTGGAATTCGAAGAAGGGAGCTGCTTTTGGGTTCGGGTCCATTGCTAAAAAATGCGGGGAACATCTAACACAACATTTGCCCAACATTATTCCCAAGTTATACAGGTATCAATATGATCCATCACCGAATCTACAAGCGTCTATGCAGAATATTTGGCATGTATTAGTGCAAGAACCAACAAAAATGGTAATTCTAACCTTATTTATCCTCATTTTCAAGTTATTTAAATGGGGTTATGTTTTTTAGTTAGATTTATATCATCATGAGATACTTAAAGAACTGCTCGCCAATATAAACTCAAATCAATATAGAGTTAGGCAGAGTTGCTGTGCTGCGTTACAAGATTTCCTCAAGGGAGCTGGTAATCGTTCTATTCATGATTCTGTGGATTACATGGAAGAACTCTGGAGTAAATTGTTTAGAGTTATGGATGATCATCATGAGCAAACACGAATTGTCGCTGGGAAAACTACCAGAACATTAAGCAAAGTAAGAAAGAAAATTTCTAAAAACCGTTTAAAAAAATGTTGTTTTTTTTTTCATTATTTTAGTTGTGCATTCGTGGTTGTGATCTATCTCAGGGTAAATCCGCCACGAAGATGATGGATTCTATTCTACCAGTTCTCCTAAACAACGGCATCATCAACGCTGTGCAAGAAGTGCGTCTAATATCTCTCCAAACTATTTCTGAATTAGTAGGCGCGGCTGGTAAGCAACTTAAACCTTTTCTACCCAAACTTATTCCGGCTTTACTACAAGCCACTGGCGAATTGGAATCTGCGAAATTGTCATATTTGAGTACAATGTACGGTGCGCAAAGTCAAGTTCAAGACGTGGTCGATTCTGCGCGTGCTTCAATGGCAAAAAGTCACTTTACAACCGAGACAGTATCAAAATGCATACAATACGCGGATGCGTCCATTATGGAAGAACTAACACCGAGAGTAGTAGAGTTAATGAAGGGGAATATTGGTCTGGGGACACGTGTTGCATGCGCGCATTTTGTCACACTATTAACACTCCAACTCGGTCAGGATTTACAACCATACACTGGTAAATTCCTAGCTGCTTTGGTAAATGGTTTGACTGATAGAAATTCATCGATTCGCAAACACTACGCACTGGCAATCGGGCATATTGTAAAAACCGCCAAAGAATCAAGTCTGGTGAAACTTTTCGATAAGATTCAACATTGGTACTTTGAGAGAGAGGATGATACGATTCGGTCAGCATGCGCATTGACAATACAATCTATTGGAAATCAGAATCAGGAGGTTTTAAAGAACTTTTCGGATGTGGTACTTCCGTTGGTTTTCTTCGCAATGCACGCTGATAAAACACCTGAGACACAAAATACGCTTGAGATTTGGAATGAGATTTGGGCTGAACAAAGTCCGGGAAGCGAAACTGGCATCAGGCAGAATTTAGAGAATATCTGTAAAATTCTACAGACTGCTTTGGAGAGTCCTTCATGGAATATGAAGGCGCAAGCGGCAAATTCTGTCAGTACTATTGCTAATAAACTAGGAACAACGATGGATGCTAAACATAGAAATAACTTGGTATCAATATTGGTTAATGGTTTAACTGGACGCACTTGGAGTGGAAAAGATAAGCTATTGAATGCTTTGGCGAGTATTTGCAGTAATTGCAAGTAAGTTTAACCATAAATACAACATAACCCGATCTAACCTATAAATTATTTTTATTTGTATTATTAGAGAATCGATTAAAACCGATCCGGATCTTGATATAAACATAATAATTGACGCGATAATCAGAGAAAGCAAAAAAGAAGAGATTGTGTACAAAACTAAAGCACTGGAGGCTTTGGGAAATGTTTTGCTAGCAATGGAGATTGACAAATTTGAAGAAGTTCACTCTATTGTTGAAGCCACGTTAACAGGCAGTCCCGGGTCGGTGGAGGACGAAGATGATGTCAGCAAAGAAGAGATAAACTCAAATCGCGAAAATCTATTGAAACTAAAGGAAACAGTTTATGATTTGTTGGGTAAATCATGGCCCAAAGATGCGAAGGTGACCCAGGAGAAGTTTAATGATATGTTTGTTGAACATTGTGTTACGACTCTACCGCTCACGACAAGAACTATTCAAGTAGCTATTGTCGGGGCATTGTGTAATTATGTGGATAAGTTGGTGTTGTTGGAGCAGGAAGTTTTGACTTCAGAAGAGGATTCTAACTTACAGAAGATTATTGATAATCTGCTCATTGCATTGACTTATAGTTTAGGTGAGTAATTTGTAAATGGAGTGAAATATTTACAAATTGTTGTTGGTTTTAACCTCATATTTTATTTTGGTTGACTGAAAATCATTCAAAACTGTTTGTTGTTGTTGTTTACAGGCATTGCAAAACATACAAGATTGCGAAAAGAGGCACTGAATGTCTTCAATTCTCTGGGAAAAAGACAAAAGGTAAAAACATAACCAAATTCTTATTTTCATGATATTTTATATCATATATTCACTAGATCAACAAGATAAAAAGCATTTCACCAAAGTGTCGGCTTCATTCAACTCCCTCCTGGAGGAAATTTCAAAAGACCATCAACCCGAGATCAAGTCCCGAGTAGTCGACTTGAAAACCCTATTTGCTGATTAGTTATTTAATAAATTCTTTAATGTGTGCGGGCCAAACGCAGAAGCCGACGAAACAAGTAAGTGGTAATCATTTTTTATGGTATTTAATAATTTATGAAAGTGATTGCATAAAATAAAAATTCGTAAATCTCGTTTGATTATATTTATTATCATGAAATGACATTTGATATTTCGGGGATGAGACAAAGCATACAAGATATTGCATGCTCACAGAAATCACAATCGGATACAACCAAAAATTCATAACGACAATAATAGTAGTAATAATAATACCATGGCGCTTGCGATGTCCAAGTCGAAAATATATATACACATTAAGTGATGATTAGAGATTACACATGAGTATACATGAGAGCGTAAAATTAGTATAAAAAGTTTCTTGCTGAAAAATGCTACAGATTATCAGCTATAGACGCTTTATTACGTAATTTCTTTAATTATTTATTGGAATCATAAAAAAGTCTATTCGGAAATTATTATTATTTTAATTGAATAAAATATTCTAGCCCCTAATCGATATAAAAATATCGTAAATTCATTTATATCTCGATTTTTTGTAGTTTTTATATTTAAATTTGTTTAAATACTTATTTATCATTTATTTGGTAGCTTATTTCATTGATCATATGTCTCCTTTGTTTTATGCTTATGTTTCTGTGTCGATTCACTAATTTTTTGGCACGGAATGTTGAATTTTTATACCGAACACAACAATTTACGTTTATTACGATTCGTTTGAAATTCTTATTCGAAAAAATCTTAAAAGTATCAAAATCAGAAAACTTGAGTGTAAAGTATAAAATGCGGCTGCAGTCGCACAAGTAGGTAGCCTATCTAACTAAAATAATTATAAGATTTGGCGTTTTTTGTTGTATTTTCATTCTCATCGAGAATAATTTGAAATATTGGCGAACGCGTGTGTCTGGTTTCTAGTTTAACATATGCGCCGGGTCGACTGTGAAATATGTACACTTACAAAAGCACCCTGGGCTCGTAGCACAGCGGCAGCGCCTCGTACCCGATATTTCAACTGGACCACCGCGACTTCTGCAGATCGATCTGGCCCTCGAGTGTTTTTGCCAGGTAGATTACGAAGAGCTGTGCTAGAGCGGTTGACAGCGCGATGATTGCTATCGTGTACAGATTACGCTCAGCCCACGAGCGTACAATCTCAATACAGCCGGACGTCCACACTTTTTTACTTGCCTCAGCCACCTGAAATTAAAAACAATGTTTGCATAGAGAATGTGATTGGTGAAAGTTGGTGTTGATTGTGTTACAGTTACTCACCGGTAGAGTTTGTACACCGTAGCCGCACATAATGTTCAATAAACCGGAACTGATGTCGGTCGCGTTGATGCAGCATGAGAACGGCACACCGCAACGCTCTACGCTCGGTGATGAACAGTTGAAGTACTCATTTTTCGACCAATCAATGTAGCCTTCAGAACTTAATCCACAACACCGGAACTACAGAGGAAAAACATAAAAACAAATTATAATTGTTTACTCTATTATAACTATAATAATACTTACTTCCTGTTGAGCAAAATCAATGAAATTCTGCAGATCGGGATCGTCGCGATATGTGTGAATGATTTTATCAGTGAAGTTTTCTTCTAACATGGACTGCATTGATTGTGGGAATACAAAACCAATGATGGCAATGCCCATCTCAAGCAGGAAGAACACAAGTAGACATAATGAGTACTAAAAATAACAGGAATGATTAATATAAATATTTACTTTTCAAATTGGAATGTCTTACAAGTTTGAGTAGGCAAGTGTTTTCTCTCAGTGCACCAACACAGCCAGCAAAACTGACCGTGAAAATGACACCACCCATGATAATCATCACCAGTGAGATGTTAAGGATAACATCATAGACATTTTCAAGTTTTACTGAGCCAGTCAGCTGCCATTTGTCTATAAATGCATAAACTCCAATACCAATCAGCAGACCTCCACATAGCTGAAAGGAAACAAATAGATTATGACTTGTTGATTGTAATTTTACACTTTCACTCACCCAGAAGATAAAATTCAGCAGGAATATCAAATACTTGTAGCAGGAACTGACATAAGAGAAATTGTACGGTTGACGGCGATGATGCTCTCTCCTGTGTGGCGGTGGCGGCATTTTACCAGTATCGTGCGTTAATCCACGTTAGGAATAATCATGCGGGATGATACCACCGTTCACACTCTTCAGCTTAATATGCCTTTGTTGTTGATGACTCAAATGTCTGGAGCTGACAAACCGATTTATTCTGACAGCGCGATGTAATATTTCACAGACGATGTATCATCACGAACGCGCGATCGACTTTATTCGCAACTCGCGTGTCTCACCGACGATGTTTCGTTGTTGAGCAATTCGTGAGCCGGATTAATTACACACGCACCGTGGATTCATTACCATAATAACAATTGATGAGTGTTTGGTTTCGTGCGAGTTTGACGTACGCGGTCATTCGGGGCGATGCACTGTGCACATGCGCAGCAAATTTTATACAATGTTACTAGGTATCTCTAAATATCACTAAAAAATCACTAGATTCAAAGATGCTCTTCAACAGGGTACACCATATTTGTTCAATTTTCTCTAAATAGCGCCATTTTAAAAGTTGATTGATTAATACCTCCCAAACTTGAAGATTACAAATTTAATTAGAAAGGTAATATATTTAGATTATATTTTATTATGTTTACACACAATACTTGTCCCTACACAGTAAACAATGATTTATTAAACATTTAAAGACTTCAATTTTATAAAATAACAGTTAAACAACTCAATAAGTCCATTATATTGTCTGCTACACTGTCTACAATTATTAATCCGTGTTATAAAATGTTAGAAGCCGGCTACAACTATTCCTAGAATATTTCATTCGTTATTTAGCAATATCTGGTCTCGCCGGCTTCGACCTCAGGTCAAAACTCCGGTTTGTACTTGGGGCGTACATAGGGCGGTGGGCTGGGGCGGCAATGGTGGCCTTTATTCAACGTATTCGTTGGGCTATTCGTGTACGACATATGTGTAGATTCCGGGGACATGCAGATAAAATCACGCGGCGTTGAATAATTACGCAGAGAATTCGTCGCTTTCTGGATGGTTTCAAAATTGTTGAAATTGTTGTGCAGCGTTTCGTTTTGCTCTTCCTGAGGTTCATCTTTTACACTAAAAAATGTAAAAGTATGTATATAGGAATCAGATATAAAGATTAAATTATAAATAGTAAAGTTAAAAAAAAGCACTCGGCAATGCATTCAAACACTTTGTTAGTGAATCGTTTAACTAGCAAACAATTACCTATCAGAATCAGTACACAAATGAAAAATGTTGGCAAAATATTCTTCACTCATTGGATCATTCCTATAATAATAACAGTGAACAAATAAAATAACAGAACAAAACTTGATGAGATTTCGAAATAATACTTACATTCCTTCATTGTGGAAACACAGTATCAATGATAATATAAGCGCTAGTAGAGTCATGATGAACATGGGCACTAGTATAGTGAACAAGAATTCATGCTTGTAGGATCTTTCTGGTACTTCATCAATGTACAAAGTCTCCCAGTGGTCTTGAATGAGTTTATCTGTGTTCACATTCGAGTGATTCTCAATATTTGCTCTTGAATGTTGCATGGCAGAGCTATTATCTTCCAACTACAAAGTAAAATTGTTTTAAAGTCATATTCTTTCATTTTTGATCAAAAACTTACCAAAATAATAATATGATATTAAATTAATTGTTAGAAAAGAAATAATCTAAAAAAATCATAAAATAATATCACAAACATTAGTTTATAGAAAACTTACAAGTCTAAATGCACACCAATCCAAATTAAATCCTGCATCCCTAAAGTATCTCTCAACAGTTGTCCTTTTAAAATCCCTCGGACAACTTGGAACTTTCCACAGTGGTTTAACCTCCTCTTGTAATTCTATTAATTCATTACTGAGTGGAGCCCTGCTGCCAATCCTCAAAACAACTCCTTCGCCTTCAGTGGGATTCACTGGTAATCTTGCTCCTAATTCAATAGCTGATGCTAGGAAAGTCACATACAAATCATCATCACTATCCTTCCATAGTTTCTTTCGAAACACATCTTTAAGTCTATCCATTCTTTCCAAATCAAACATATCATCAACATTTAAGTTGTCAATCTTCAGCTGCACTTCATACTTGGCTGGTTTTAGCTTTTCTGTTATATGAATAGGTAGAATATGCTTCCTGGTTTCATAGGTTTTTCTATTTAGAGCCACCACATCAAGATTGACATGACCCATTTTGTTTGGTGGCACACCATAAAGAAACCCAGAGTTGTGTTTATGGCTATAGATGTAATTTATCCACTTTGGAAGGTCCGGGCATCTTTTAATGAGGGTTGATAGACATATTGACCTCTTATTCCTATAAATATTCAGATTAGAATAATGAGAATGCTTTGTGTGCTTTTATACCTTCAAAAGTCCAGTTAAACATGTCTGGATTGATCTCAATCTCAAACACCTCTGTTGTGAGTACATTCTCAGTGTAGATTCCATTTATTGCCAGTGAAAATGTTAACAAAGTAAAGAGTAACATTTTGTGTACTGAATTCTCAACAGGTTTTCACTGCTGGCAGTAGCAGGAAGAGCTTTATTGATGTAAGTTCATGAATGTAGCTAGCACGGAATCTAGACGTCAGTGAATTTTCACTCCCCACCCAAATTTTCAAACGAAGGAAATGAAAATTTTCGTGCAAGTGAACAAACAAACGTGTGACACGATTTGTTTACTTTATTTTGACGGTTTGGGCACGGTTTGCGAGCAAAGATTTGAACAGCAAACAGAAAATAGCATTAAACGATAAAATTAAACAAATATCTATTCAAATTGGGCAAAGTGTTGAGTACCAGTTGAGAACAATTGACGTAGTTTGTAAAATGTGACGTAATTTGTGTATATAAATCAAGTTATAAAAATCTCTAGGTCGTTAACAATCAGTACTAGTTTTTTTTAGCTTCATTATCATCTAAGTATCTAAAGGAATGTTTAATATTGCACACAAACAACTATTTTCAGTATTTGCTTTATATGAATGTATAATTTAGTCATGTTTGCTATGTTTATAACACTCATAATGTCGTGTTTTACGATTTGTAACTTTTTCAAATGACAAAGTGCAAGTCACACACAGACACATCATATGCATGTAACTGAATCAACCGTACGGAGTCAGTACTCCCGCATCGTGTTGCATGTGCATGAATTCCTGCGGTTCCTACACTGTCGGCAACGCAGGTCGCAGGCGACGCGATTCTCTAGTGAGGCGGTCGTGTCGTTCGCGCGTCGCGTACGCCAGCAGGAGTTTGTAATCGGCAGTAATCGCGTAAACAGCGTGTGCTCCGTATCTACACGCGCCAACCGAACGCCAAAAATCCTCACATGGCATTTCAGGATTAAGGATATTCGTGCCAGTAGTGTTTTCTTTCATGTCAATATTTAGAATATACTTTAAGTTCACATTAAGCATAAATCATAACCTGCAAAAGATTTTTCTACTGTTTTGATAAGATTTGTGCGGTGTTTTTGTGCAAAGTGAAGTGTTGAGTGAAAATGAAAAGAATGGCGGATATGCAGACACATTTTCCACCGACGACTTATTCGTCGTCGTTCTTTTTGAATTCTATCGCCAATGAAGTAAGAAAATATTTCAATACATTGTTCTTTTGTTTCGTAAAGTTTAGTGAATTCACATTCTAAAGATGTGATTATTTTAGGTTAGAAAGGCAGCCAAAACATTTATTTCAGTAAAAATATTCCACAGTAATTTACACTTAATTTAACAATAAAATATAAATAACTAACCCTTTATTTAGCGCACTATATTATGTTGTTGTTGTTATTCGCGTGTGCATCCATCCGAACACAATTCAATCAACATTTAATTTGAATTTAAATCTAGTGAATATTAATCGACGAATGCAGGTCCCGAAGGCCTTCTAACAATTACTGCATGATATGCATCCGATAAAATTCAGCGCGTTGTTTATTTATAGCCGCGCAAGTTGGTGCACAATGCAATGCACTTTGCGGTTCTCCGTGCGTAGAACTGTCGTAGACAATCATTACACATTGTTTTACTGTTTCTCAGTTTCAGTGTGCAGTGCATTCACATTTGTATCTGCGCAAATTACGCTTTTATAAGTGCTTGTATTGCGTATGCACGCACAATTGTTTACCAGAATAACAAGAAAATTATTGTTGTTGAGCGCAATTATTTATTCTGACGTTATTCCATTCATTTGCACTTATTTTTTTCTTCTTCTGCAAAATGTAAATTTGCTGCTCGTGTTAGGAGATTTTAATTAATGTTTTGAAGCAAGGAAGTATTTATTCATTAAATATTAAGTTGTATTTTTTGTTGTTTATTCATATACGCTACAAATTCTTAACGCAAATATTTAATATTTGGATATTTGGATACTCGAACGTTAGTTATACACACATTTATTTATGTCCATTGCATGTTAGTAGAAAACGTGCGAATTGTTTCGGCAAATAGTCAAAGTCATTCAAATCTCAACAAGCTTTTAATTTTAAACATTTCAATTAGCGTTCGTTCTGCGGGCTCAGCAGAAAAACATCCGCACAGTTCCTAATTATAGTAATTAATCATATGCTCATAAAGAAGTTTAATGCAAAATAAATCCTGTGATATTTGCATGTAATGTGCTTTTAATTATCGTCCAAGTACAATATATATATATTGATACGGACGAATATATAATATGTAAACGAGACGAATGGCTGGCTGCAGGCCTACACAAGCAAACGTGGGAATTGTTTAAAGGCGGGCGCCCGCAAAAAATGATTAAATCATTGACGTCAAACGCAGACCGCAAGCGAGCGACAAACCTTACATAAATACATAATGTCGGATCGCATATGCACATGATGGATGCGGAATACTTTTTGTTGGTGTGTAAATCACTGGATGAATATTCATCGCGGCAAATAAATTATAATAATTAAAAATGATTCAGGATAGATACTTGGCCACACATTGCGGCTACATAGCGTTTAGTTTCATCATCGATGGTTACTGATTTATAAATATTGATACTTTCTTTCTAGTAAAATCATAATTTTCGTTAATTTTGTTTGCATATTTATAAAATGCATAAATATAAAAGTTACTGCAGCGGAACGCTCCGTTTTTATGATTTTCAATGTCGAAATGTTAAAATGAAAAAAAACTGGGTAATATTTTTGGAGAAGTCCGAATTAACTCCAGAGATGTTATCCGTCGTTTTATTATCTCACACGCCTTTTTTGTTTATTTAATATTTTTGCCAAAAAGGTTAAAATCATTACCTTTTGACCATTAAAGGTAAAAAACGAAAATGGAGAAAATACGACTTAAAAAAATAATGTAATTTTACGTTTTTACTTAAAAAATTTAACTTTATTGCCTTGTTGTATAAATAACACTTTTACATAGCGTTAAAAGTTGATTTTTATGTTTTGTGTGTTCAAATGAGTATTGTTTGCGAATTTCACGCTTATTACCCTCTGGCTATCGAATTCTAGATAATTTTAACGATGCATTGTTCGTTGTTACAGGAGGAACAGGACAAACAATCGAAAAGCAGTAAAAACCAAGGAGGCAATCACGCCGACGATGCGGACGGCCCCCAATTGCTGGACTGCTTCATAAAAACAGTGAGTTGATAACTGATTAAATTTAATTTATCTGGTTCATTTTTTATGCGACTGGATTAAATTTTATTTTTGCACTACGCATATGGATTTGCGATCCATTGTTCGTTTATCGGTCGATAAAATTAAAATGATTTGCGAATTAAAATGTCAATTAATTATTATAGTTCTATAAAATTTTATTATTAAGGAGAAATTTATTGCGTCTTGTAAGATGTGACACCTTAACAGAGTGGCTTGTTGTTGGTGACAAATGGAGGTCATTTGTTATACTGCGATAAAGTGCTAAAATAAAAGTGAAGCTTAATATATGCGATTTTAATGAAATTACCTACATTTTTGAAAAGTCTTTGTTCGTTTGGCAGAAATCTTTAAAGCTTTTATTTATGTAGATTTTATTTACTTTTAAGTGTATTTGATTGTTTGAATTCAAATTTGAGCAATTATTATCAACGTAATAGTATTAAGTGTTTAAAATTAGGAAAACATGTGACTTCTTGATGTAGATCATTTTTTATTGGTCGGTCTCGCAGATTAATTCAGCATTCGTTTAAAATATTTAACATCAATTCATCAACTTGAGCTGTAGCTCGTGTGCCGACTGACGAATATGCGAATTTACAGTTGTAATTTATTCAATTGCTCCCGTCAGTCACAATCAGTGGGCTTTTTTGGATCGAATCGCAATGTTGAATTACGAGTATTTGCGTTGTCCTGTGCGTCTGCAAACAATTAATATTTAGATGCAGATTCGCATTCGTATAGAAATATGCAATCAGGAGCAGCAAATATAACTTCCAAAGGTCTGATGTATGCATTTTTGTTGTTGTGTATACTTTACTCATTCGAAATTGATTGATTGACGAGTTGTAGCGAGTTATTTATAGAACACGTAGTAATTGCTGATAATTATGATTATTGAAGGCATTAAGTCGGGGCAATCATGAGTTCTTGGTGCAGGACCACAAGTTTATTTTATTTTAAATAATTGGAATTGTTTTTATAATTTTATTTTAAGAGTACTTAGTATGCCACAGATGATTTTGATCACTTGGTGATAAATTTATCAGTATCTGTGTTTTAAATTTATATTTATTTATTTAAGTCTCAAAAAGTTTTTTTTGCAATAAATTCGCGTTAATTTCCGCGGTATAAAGACGTTTGGTAATCAGTAGATGGCTTTTTAAAACTCCAATCCGCTTTCCACACAATAAAAACTTCTGAAAATGAAAGAAATTTGTCTTTGATGCAAAATTTTCTATGATTTCTGATTTCGATAAAAATAATTAACAATATTGACGTGGTTTCAAGGAAATTGAACCAAAAGTTGTACAAAAAACTTACACTGGTATTATTCATTTATTATTTTGAAATTGCTAATCATTAATTGAAATTTGTTGTTGGTTCGTCAATTATACAATTATTTACATTGTAGTAGGACCGCCTGATCAAACGTAAGAATGCGGCAAATTACCCATCAGCTAATTTAAATTAGAAAATTAGCATTCTGGCAATAAATTGCTCGGCGGTCCGCAATTACAATAAAATCGTACAATGAAAAGCAATTAAACGCGAATTTAAAATTATGCAGCAATAGATTTTATAGTTTATTTTGTCTAAATTAGTCGTAATTATCCACACTCTAAATACCCAGAAATGTGGTTCAAATAAATCAAATTAGCGGACGATCGTCAATCACATCATGATAGTGATTATAATATTTACTTAAATATTTAGATATATTGTTGGCACGAGAATTATGCAAATCAGTTTTCCGTGGTTAAATTCCGTAAATTTGTATTCGCATTACGATATTTACTTATGTTTACATTATTTGAAATTTCGCAAATGTGCATGTGGATAGATAATAAGGTTTTATCTGGAGTTCGCCTGGCACACGCATGCGAAACGCGCAAATAATTCACTTCTTCTCGCGCAGCGTGTGCTTACTTTCGACTCGCCTTGCAGAAGTTATTTTATTTTACGAGGCGTGGTGCGCGCGGACAAACATAGAGCAAAAAAAATTAATACTTGGAATCACATTTGATTCATCAGCAAATTCGTGCACTTCGTGCCAGTGTCCGAAAAAATCAATCCTCCACGCACCTAATAATTAATAATCGGCGAAAATTAGGTAATTGCAAGGCACGCGCGCGAGTTGTTCACAAAAGTAAAAAGTAATTACGCGATGCGAGATTGTCTCTCGACGTATTGAACTTTGCGATGAGCTTCGACTCGTCAAACGCATTGTGATCACGTTTAGTATAAATCAGTCGTAAGTACACATCGTATTCGTGAAATGTTAAAACGCTAGAATTAAAAATTAAAAACTCGTATTAGTTGAACACGCGACCGGAAAAAACACAACTACTAGAAACACGTGGTCGGGCACATGTAAGTTGGCGAATTTAATTTCTATTGAATCTCATCACTCCCATGAATTGATTTCGTGCACAATTAACGCGCACAGCAGTGAGTGAGCGAAATATTATCATCAGGAAACGGTAAGTTACTCCTTAGCAGCAATATCAACAGTTTTTCGAACAGATTTATCAAATTATATTGTTTTAACATAGGCAACTTACAATACAGTCATGTCGAACTGGTTGCCTACAGTCGCACTCTACACCACGATTTTATTCGCCACCATTGCGTTTTCAAACCAGCTGCAATGCAATGAACTGGAGCATCCCACGTGGCGAGTTTTTCGCAACTTGTCTGACTATAGGAATAATAATAGGACTTTTAATGTCGTCGTTAATGCTGAGACCAACTGGGTGCGCATCAAGCGCCTGCCTCAAACTAAGCTAGGAATGAATGAATTCAACACCACGGACGCCGGTTACATTGTACGCATGGATCTCTCCAACCTGGGTATTCGGACTGTCATCAATGGAACCTTCAATGATTTATACTGTATGGAAACTTTGGATTTATCAGAGAATAGTATTACTACTATTCCACCAGGTGCTTTAGCTGGAATGGTCCATTTGAAAGTCCTAAATTTAACGAAGAACTTTGTTCATCGCTTGGGTACCGACATGTTTGGCTATCTGAAGGTTCTGCACACCTTGGACTTATCCACGAATGTGATCCAAACTGTAGAGGAGAACGCCTTTGACAACTTTCCAAAACTCCAGTTTTTAAATTTAACCAATAATCTACTAGTTGAAGTCGATTTTGTTCAATGGTCACTGGCTTCCACGCTGATTAATTTGAACTTGACCTACAATCGCCTCGAGTTTATAAAGTTTAAACCCAACATTACTTACCAATCCTTCACTCGTCTGGATCTCAGTTATAACAACCTGGAATACTTGGATGTTCCTAAACTGAAGGCAATGGCACCTAATATGGCGCTTCTGTTTATCCACGGTAACAAATTTCATTGCGCGTTTTTGGAAAGGATGGTTGAGGACTTTGCAAGGTTCCATTTCTTTCACAATGTAATGAATTATACAAACTACAATGTTGATGGCATTGATTGCATTGGGAGATTTGATGAAGATTTGACTTTGTTTGATAAGACTCATGGTGACCCACAGGGACCTGCTGATATTTTTCCAGCTAAGGATATTCCGCATGGACATGATGCAGGACCTTCATTAAAGGATGAGTTTTTGAGGACGATGGCAGCGAATAATCATAAAGTTTTGGAAGCGATTCATAGCTTGAGAACCATTATTGTCTGCTTGTTTATTTTTGTTTTGATTTTTATTTGTGGCAATGTTTTGTTTAAATCCGGCTTGGTTCATCGGGCGTTGGGGCTTAGACCACAAAATAGACGCCCACACCATGACGTACTCGATTCTTCCGTGGAAGTCGAGGATTTTAGATTGATTCAAGCCAGGGTGTAATTTTAGTGTAATGTCTTTTATTTTGTAACTGACGACTGAGTAATGGACTGATTTTTAAATTTTAATATTTGTATCCATTCATAATTCATTAATGTAACGACTTGAAATCAATAAAAGATTTTTTAAATATTTCCTTTTGATGTAAAATTTACTTTGATCTTAAAATTATTTTAAGAGTTGTGTGGTATTGAACGATAGTTATGTTTCTTTTTTTTATAGTTCGTGTCAACAAGAAGCACATCCAACAAAGATTCCAATCCAAATTCCAACTCGACATCGAAGAATTCATCGAATTTCTCGCCGACAACGAACAACGACAAGGTTAGTAAATTTCTAAATTTAAATTTCTTATATTTATCGACGAAATTAAACAATAACACGTGCGTATGGAATTAGTTTAATATCGCTGTAAAGTTCCGCGTTGAAAAACATTATTTTAAAGCGTATCAAATTGAATTTCAAGGTGGTTGTGAGCCTGTTTGACTCAACAATGTTTATTTTAGAATAGATTATATTGCTAACGAGCGGAAACATTTATAAATTTAAATTTGTCTCAAGTGTTAAATACTCTTATTAATATGAGAGATGAATTGGATTACTATCAATATGAATTGCGTTGAAGTTGTAACCAATCGCCGGGTTTTCTAAGTGGAATATGATCGATGATCGAAGTGCGTGAGTGCAATTTGATATATGTAATGCGGTTTAGCCTCGCGGTGGCATCGCTGCACTTCGTGATGCGCGTTCGAATTTGGGCCACCGATAGAGCGCGAAAAGTGCATGGCTTGTGGCTGGCGGCGGGGCGGCAGGCAGCGGCGTCGTCGCCGTGGTCGCTTTCGTCGTCCGCCTATCCAGCACAAAACGAAACCGGCGGAGGTCACCATTGACGTCAATCACGCACACACGCCCGCAGCGGCACATACCGCACATGAGTAACTTGCTTACTTCTACTTTACTTCTACCACTTTACTTAAACCTCTAAACTCTAAATACTGCTTTACATTTTACACATTACGCTGGTTGACGACGGTGTGTGTGCAATGTGCACTTGTGGCTTTTTCAACGTTTCGAATTGGACACATTTTGCAATTAACTTGATTAGAATGCAAGAGTTGTAGGCGTCGGTTGGAAGGATAATTCACGGAGGTTGCGGAGGATTAACATGCGGTTTACATTTTGCAATTCAAGGGTTGCTGCAAGGGCAATTTAAAAATTTATCCGGACATCCTGTAACAGTTTTAATTCAATCGCTAAATATAGTTAATAATAACTCGCTGTAATTAATTGTCTGCACGCGCTAATTTTAATATTAATTGAACTTAATTAAAATGTTTACGAAATGTCTTGGTGTAATTTTCCTACAAAATATTCAAAAAATAAAATTTGGCTGCGTGATTATTAATTAAAAAGATAGAGCGAATTTGCCCCGAGAACACGCTCCGACAAAGTGATGCTCTGTGAATTTAAATTTATTTGATTGACGTAAACAGGAATATACTGGACTGGACGCGACGAACAATAAACTACTCGCATTTCCAGCAATGATTATTTATTTTAAGTAATAAGTATGATAATTAAAATTTGTGTAATCCAGCGTGTATTTAAATTTATGATACTTGAATTACACGTTGTCTGTTTAATGTGAAAACAAAATTTATTGCAATTTGCGATCGTGACATAATTTATAGTGTTTAATTTGGCAGCGAAGTGACTAGCCACTGGATTGTGGATTAATTAGGTGCTATTGACGTCAATGCCGCGAAATCAGTTGGTTAAAGTTAACTTAAAGAAGTTTTTTTTCGCGCGCGCGCGCCTCGGATCAAATGATTTCAATTTTATAATTTCACCTGATTCCAACCACGCGAATGACTCACAAATTAAATTTAACCGTGCGAGTCATTCGTGTGATTGTTCTTTATTTATTTAATGTTAATCATGAGAGATATTATGAGATTATTTCGTTTTACGCAAAAGTAAAGTTTGTTTAATTTTATGTATTCAAAAATAAAAGTTGTAATGTCAAACAATCACAATCGTCAACGTGGAGATTTGTCTGTGGTAAACAACAGGACAAAACACAAGCATCGCGCGTTAGTTTATGAATTATGCATGCGACATATTATTTTATTGGCGTGCGAACCGACAGGCGGCAATTTGTTGATTTTATTGGCATATTGGCGCATTTGCCATTTATTGTACTTCTGGTCCGTGCTCATTATGCCAATCATGCCAGTGATGTTTGTCCTGTACTGCCAGTAACATGGTGTATATATAAATAAGTACTTTTGTTTCTTTCGAGTGGGAAGTAGATGTGAATTGTAAATGTAGATGGAGGCGCAAATGAACCTGTTTTACACCAAATGTCTACAATAATTATAACAAAATGGAAAATTTGTTTTTGTGGGCTAGTGCGCAGGCGCTCTAGTTCAAAGACTAGTCGATGTCTTCTATCTATCGAACAAACACAATCATTATCATTAAAAAATAATTTTATTTAGTTTTTGATTGTCTTCTTGTTTGGCTTATTCTTGTGTCTGGTGTACTTTAGTTGTCTTGTATCTTGTCTTGTCTGGTTGTATTTTTGTCTTGTACGCGCGTGTTGGTGGCACGATTGACGTCAATCGTGGATGGATTTGTATTCACGGTCAGTAACACCTTCGCGTTTCGTTTCGTCTCTCCGATATTGTAATATCGCGCGCGTTTGACGTTGTTCGCCGCTGCGGCCTGGCCATAAAACAATGCATCGACATACGAAACACGATTAATTACTGTTCTTTGCAATTAAAATTTTAATCAGCGTACTCTTCACGTTGAAAATCTGCGAGTCATGCAAGAATACAAGAAAGGAACGATCGGTGATATCATATATTTTATTTACTATGCTTTAAAAAATGTAGTTGATGGTATTAAGTTCAAAAAGTGGTGAACTTTTTTTTTAGAAAAGCTGAAAAACTTTGAAATATCGTGATATTTGAAGGCAAAATACAGAAGAAAAGTTTCTTCGATTGTGTTGAGTATTATTAGATCTTAATATCAAAAATTGAATTAAATTCAATTAGTAATTCAGTTAGAGATAGAAATTTGCTGGAAAAGCAATTTAATTTTTTTCTGATATTAACTAATCTTAATGGGTTTTGGTTTATGTTTATTTGGACATTACACTTTACAGATACAAATAAAACAACACTTGACAAAACCATACGCAACTCGTTTCACAATACATTTCTTCAACTTTGCACATTTTTTCCGTAATTAGTGTAATATGAATTTTTGACCTTCCTTGGATTCTTCTTATGCTTGAATTTGTTCAGTAGCTTCAATCGTGACGTGCCTCGATTACGAATTTATCATGGCTCTACAAGAATGACTTGCTTTGGCTGCAAAAAAAATAAGCGAAATTATGATATAATAAAAATCACAATTTTATGCAAATTTTAATTTCATAACTCATATTTTTACTTACACAACAACAAATACTGCGTTTCGAGAGCAACATGGGCAAGTTGGGATTTGTGACCACTCCATTGCAATCGTACGCAGCAGGATAAACCAACAGACTATCACAATAACCGAGCTGAACAGCCCTAGGTGCAATAGGGCGATTACAATACATGCCGCCTATGGTGGGCAGAGTAGGGCATGGTCTACACGGTGGATACATTTTGCCAAAGCGGATTTAAAGGAACTTGAAATTTAAATGAATTTAATTTTTTTGAAGTGGAGAAAAATTACAGGACTTTACACGATGAAATTTTGACAGTTTATGTTAAATTGTTTTTATTTTTATAACAAAACGTTGTTTTTTTCATTCGCATTTTTGTTTTAATCATGGCTTGGTAATTTAATTCGGTTGCTTTTTTTGTTGTTATAATTTGCATGTACGCACGAACGTTTAATTCCAGTCGATTCCTGATCGAATTGTTTACTAACGGTGCTGGCAGGGTATAATTATATCGTCTAGCTATTTATATCTCGATCAAACATTCGATTTAATTGAAGTATCAACAATTCTGCAAGATTGCACTCAGGAGGTTTCTGTCAGCTGAAGTTAAATATTTATTGGAAATGACAAGATCGTTTCATTTAGGTGCACGCAAGATCAATTTGCTGTTTATTTGGCGGTCAGAAAATGAAAAATATCTTATTTTGGCTAGTTGATGATTTTTTCTAAGGATAATTCCCATTTTTATTGATTATGTTGATTAAATTAGTTTTTGTGCTGACGATAAAAGTTTAATAACTTTTTCGTGCTCAAAACAAAAAAAAATCAACAGTTTAAAAGTTTGTTTTTTTAACGAAATTGGCTCAGTAATTAAATAAAATCGTGATTAAATGTCAAAAATGTATCTGCAATAACCGTTTAATGCTAATAAGTAACTTATAAAGTCTTACGGTGGTTAAATACAATTATTTTTGCTTACACTATTTTTGGCCCTGAAAGTAGTTCAGGAAGTTAAATTTTAGAAAATTATGGTCTCAAAATTAATGCGTAAAAATAACATGTCTATAACACGCAGAATTATTTGCCCCGTGATACTCAATATTTACTACTCGATACCTATTTATATTTTGCGCATTAGAAATATAGGTGTCAAAGCAATTATGAAGTTGACAGTTAAAATTTATGGTCCATTCATCGGTAGTAAATCTTTTGCATTGTCGCAATTGACGCACTTTGTATATATAGTTTATTTCCAAGCCTGTGGAAATAAATATATTTTTTAATGTAACATCGTAAACTTCCAGTGTTACGTGCCGCTGTGTGGCATTCATTGATAATTATAATTAAGGTACGTAATTAGTCGTAAACCGTAAACGTCGTGTTTAATTAAATTAAATTATTGAATTAATGCGTTTTGCGGCGCCGCATTGGGTGCGTGCGTTCGTGCACGTTACCATCCATATGTTTACGCGCGTGTACAATCAAAGTTTAATTGATAAATTTAGTTTAATTATCGTGAAAAAAATATCGAAATACAGCACAACCCTATGATAGACAACATGTCAATTTATCGCGAGTTGTACTCTGGCATTCATAAATATGCTTGTTTATTCGTGAATGTCAGGAATCTGAAAATGAGAGTGTTTACTTACTTGTAGTGTAGTGGTTTTTGCGAGTTGTTTTTATCATTCACGTAACTTTATTACATCATTACATTTGCAACTTTTTTCTTCTTTATATGAATTTAGGACTAGGTCAACACAAATAATAAATTATCACAAAAAAAACTACTTACTTACATAGAGAATTTATATAAGTATAAAAATGAGTTTAGTTATTTGAAGCTGTATTGTTGGGTTTTACCAAACTCCGTGCTCTATTTATTGTTTATCGTATAGAACAGAGTGAAATTTTGCAACTCGTGTGGAACATAAAGCTCAAGGTATAAACGCGCGTCATTTGCAAATGTTTGGCCAAAATTCGTAATCTACATACAAAAAAGAACACAATCATGAACTAGTAAACTTGGTACCCATGTGTGACACAATTTTCCTCTGACGTTTTTTTAGTTGCGGTTTGCCACTTTCCTAATTAATTCATTTTTATTATGCGCTTGGAAAATGTAATGTATGAAAATTCCCTGTACTTTGTGGTCATATAATTATTATTTATTTATCATCACTAAATCATAGGCATAAAGTAGATACCTAATATGCAAATAATCGTGGTAACTTTGTGCATTTTTTTGTCTTCTTTATTGAATAACATCGTATTGTTTTGGTCGTTCTATATAGCTCGCGCGCCAGTGCAAATATCACGGGCTTCACGTCTAAACTAATAATTAATAAATATTTAATCGGATTAGAAGTTGTGTTCGCTGTGTTAATATTTATTCGCACTACATTGCTATTCAGCTGCAATGTTGCTATTCGGGCTACTGTATTTTGCTACCTGTTAATTATTTGGCAAATAATAACTTTTCTACAGGGTGTTAAAGAGGCCAATACATTTTATTTCTTTTAAATAATTTTCTGCTTTGTTGAGGTTTATGTATTGAAATTTATCACGGGTTAAAATTTGTAGAAAAAATATTTGAAATAATTTTCCAATCAATGTTGGCCACACTTTATCTTATTTTTATATAAAGATGGCGGCAAAAGTTTTTTTCTGAATGTTTGTTCTTCTTTGTGTTGTTTTGTGAATATTTTTGAAGATCAGCATCATTAGTATATCTTTTACTTTTACTTTCTGCTTAGTTATGAAATGACTACACTAAATACTCGTATGACTTGAGCTAAACATTGAATGTAATTAACTTTAATCGGAGGCGTGTGCACGGGCGAGATAATTAAGTTTATTCTTTTATAGCGTAATGTTTCTATTCATCTTTATATTAGCTGTAGGTGTACCTATTATAAGTAAGTAGTATAAAAATATAATGAATAATTGACTTTACTTCCTCTCTGTCAATTATTTATCTTTGTATATAATTTAAATTTAGTCCGATACTCAAGAGGTCAACCGTAATAAGTCATGCATCTCATAAGATATTTTTATTTTTATTTTAATTTTATATAATTCGATAAAGATAGATCCATAGCTACACTTTATTACCTCATTAAAAAGTTATCGTTTTGTTTTGCTACGATTATATTCAAGAGTCCAAAGATGCGATGCCAGATAACACTAACCTCAGCTAACTTGAATTTAGTAAATCCGTTCACCGAAATGTGAATTCTACCATGAAGGAGGTGTGTGAACGGTGCGAATTGTGCAAATTAACGCGTCCCAATTATAATGTCTATAATTTACGATTAATTCACATTATTTTTGTTAACTATTTAAACGATAAATATTAATTAAGGACACGCGATGTTTTCATTGCTGGTTGTAGAAAATGTATTAACTATGCTAAATTTATAGACATTTTTATGAACTGAGAAGTTATTCCTTCTTCATTTATATTATATCTTCATAACAGGTTCGTATTGCGTCGAAGTTTTTATTGAGATAATTAAGTTTTTAGGTATCATACTTTTAACGAGATAAAAATTGAGCAGTATAAAAATTTAAGTACCTATTAATTACTACTCATGCAAATCTGTGTAAAACCTGTTGAAGCCTAGTGATTATGCATATTTGGCTCATTGATTATTTAATGCAAACCATTACACCTTGCGATGTAACAAGTTTGCAAAAACGATTAATTTGTGGTTACATAATTGTTGTTTGTACGTTTAAATGATGCTTTTTTTAATAAAGGGTTTGCTAATAATTATTGATCAAGTATTAAAATTGTCTGGGCTGAAATTTCACGTTTGTTAATTTTTATTGAGCGTAAAAAGTAAATTTTTACCATTTAGTACACCATACTTGATTTTATATCACCGTTTTTTCATAGATGGTTATAAATTATCTTTATATGAAAAAATAATTGAAGTGAATAACTTGGTTTGTAAGATATGCGCGATTTACGTCATCCCTCTCGATGATTATTTATGAATAATCAGTGGCGCCTTGTTTCTCTTATCAACAGCGAATACTATACGTATTTATTTATACAATAATATCTATATGATAATAAGAAATAATAATAAAAATGTTTAATAAATCATAAACATGAATTAATACACATGTTTAATCAAAGTGAACTATGGACAAATGTTAACCGAAGCATTTTCAAAGTTTTACTATTTGAAATAATCAACATAAACAAATTATTGCGTATTATTCAAATTTTCCGTGGGAATGTAAAAGAGTCACTGAACACGGAAAAGACATCGATATCACCAAAAACGGACGATATTTAACTAATTGAATAAATATTCAATAAAATTGGAATTGGTGATAAAATAAAAATATTCATATTTTGGTTGTATTCTTAATATTTTTTAGTTTTGTTTGAAACACGCACAAAACTAGCAATCAATAAATGTCACCAGATCATAAAACATTCAATTCGACACAATATAAATTCATATGTGTCGTAAATCGCGAACTGGTTGAAAAATGCGCAAAAATGACACAGTGATCATTAGCGTTTACATGTTTTACTTTCATGGCTAGTCAAATAAGTAAATAAATTATCTAGCGTAAAATAAATCAAACGTTGATATATGTTTTCACCATTTACAATCACTTTGATAAGATGTGACCAATTATTTAGATTAATTTCTGCTTAGGGTCGCGAAAAATTATAAAATTACATTTTGTTTAAGCTGAAGGAGATGTGATTGCAAAATATGAGTATTTTTAGCAATCAAACATTTAAAGTGCGAATGTTTTCTGTTGTTGGATGTTTGAAATATTTAAAATAGTCGTGTAAACATCGCTTGATAAGGTTACGCTTGACGTAGAGCTCAGCAATACAATCGCCGCATATCAGTGGCGTAAAAAGATCATAGCGAAGCTTGAAAATAGTAAAAATAGCAAATAATAGTATTATTAGTCGTGTGGCCTCAAAACACCAGCGGAGAACAACTCGTAACGCGACGATTCGTCCAAGGATAATAAAATAATACACTAAAATCTCCAATAATACTCTTGTGACGCACGTTAATATTGATTGAAATTTATTTCTGCACAAGTGCAAAATTTGAAAATAGATTTTTTTCATTTCTACCATAAATATAAAACTACGATAGTGCGAAAATTATTCTAGAATTATTTAGAAACATTTTAAAGTTGGTTGTAGATGTATTTGTTGAATTTTAATTTGTAAATTAATTTTTTAAGTTGTTTGGAGACTACCTCAACACGATTTAGGTTTCTCTTAGTTTCTATCACATCTAACATCCGCTAGCCTGGTATATATGTGCACAAAATGAATGTGTAAATACTGAATACACGCGTTAAATTTAAAACGACGACTCGCGTTTCGTGGCGATGCTTGAAAAACAAATATGT